TTATTGTGTGTGAATGTATCGTAATTGCCTTAACCATTCTTCCTCTGAATAGTTTTACAGTGCTGTAAAAAAACTGAAAATGAGTTTCAGTTACCACAAAGGAGTATTGAATTTTTATCACATTTTTTTCAGAATTATTGAGAAGCTCATTAAATTTTTTAAATTAAGCCTATTGGTAGAGTTAAATTATTCTTGCATTTTTAAGTATTTTAAAAATGAAGCCATGCTGGAAGTTCATATGTGTGCTTTTGAACTCCTGGTGGGACACTTGGCACATAAATGTTGCTCACCAGTTATTTAAAGAATAAAAGATATTCCTTAAATGAGTGGATTCAGTTAGATGACTGCCAATCATCTTTTCTCCCAAAGCTCTGTTTTTTTATTTGTTTGTTTTTTGTTTTTTGCATTGTCAGCCTAAAGTTCAAATGTTTCTTGACAGTATAGTAATAAAAGCAGGCTTTGAATTTTATCTTTGGTCATGAGGTAGATATCTTAGTTCTAGTGTCTGTTGGTTTTGAGTGCATTTGAAAAACAAGAGGTAAGTAAATATTTTTATGCATATGTATTCATAAAAACTAATTCCAACTGTCCAGAGAGTGTTGTTAAGGTGTCTATCATTTCATTACTGATTAATAAGTTACTCTCATCTTGGCACCATTTCATTTTCTGTTTAGATTTATGGCATTTGTCTTGATCATAATATTCCCTGAAAACTTGAGTAGCAACAGAAATTGTTCCTTTTCTTTTAATTGAAGCTTTCGTTGGAAGGCCCAAGAAAAAAACTAGCTGAGGAGTAGGTGCAGGGCATCTTCAGTGAGAGAAAAGCATTTTCACAAACAGTGCATACAACAGCCATCAACATTATATTTTCAAGTCTACGTGGGGTTTGTTTTTGAGGTGGAAAGGGTAAAGGATGAAGATGATGGTTGTGCTATAAAAAAATTTTAAAAGACCATGAAAATCCAAATGTGGAACCTGTGAAAAAACTGTCAGAGACTTATGTTTCAAGAGGGTGGTTGTCCGGGAGGTCAGAGAACGGTGATGTCATAATGCCTGAGTCATCTGTGCTCCTGGCCTGGCTTTTCTTCTCCACTGCACTCCGTCTCTCTATGGAGTGTTTCTATTCTGCCGTCAGAGTCTCTGGGCCAAGGATCCTGATGTAGGTGCCTACCACCACTTCTAAGAAGATTGATTGTTCTTTTCCATTATTCCAATGATGGCATTTGAGACTTTTTAAACGGTATTAAGCTCCATGATGTGTTGTGTCCTGCTTCTTTTAAATCTTCTTTCTTGTGTGCTATGAGTAAGGTACCAATTCACTTATGCCAGAGAGGTGGGTGTTGTGACCTCATATATTTTGGGTTATGATAGTTCTTTGTTTGCCACTTCTAGGTTTTAAAGATCTTGCTGAATTTGACCAAGTCACTTTGTGCCAATTAAGATTTGCTTTGTTTTCTCAGTCTTTCAAAGGTAAAATTTCTTGATAGATCCTGAGATCTTGATAGATCATGGACCATGGTTGAACCTCAATTCCCACCACACTGTGTGCTGGGCTTGTAGTGCCAGAGCTTGAGATAGTTGAGATCTCAGTTCCAGATCTCAGCTTTGCTGCATGTGCTGAAATCTGCAGGATGCTGTTTGTAAACACACTTGATTCATACCGATGCAGTGTCACCCCTATTTGAGTGTGTGTGCATGTCCTCATAACTGGGGTAGGCAGAGACTTGCCCAATTTGGCTAAGATATCCTGGGCTTCAGGGCTCGTCATTTCTGGTGGCAGCAACAAGAATGACTCATATCTTCATGGCAGAGAATGAAGGCAAACAGTTGGCTCTTTCTGCCAGGCTGAGAGACCATTCTGGCCCTATGCCATGCCTGGGCTAGTGCTCTGAACAAAATGCTTTCCTTGTCTGCAGCAGGGGTCCTGATTGCCTATTCGCACAGCACTTTCCCTGGGGATGTTGCTCCTGATGACCCTGCACAGTGTACCATGTCTGTAGGTGGCACCTATTATTCAACTCCTGTTGACTCTCCGTGTAGCTCTGGTACTGCTAGATAGTCTCATTTTTCCCAAGGAGCTAGATATCTAGAATTAAAGATTTGAGATGTCTTTCTAATACTGTAATTAATTTAAATTTTAAATAATACTTTGTGTGTTACAGGATACATGTCTACAGGTCAAGTCTGGCCTGTATATCTCTAATCTGAAACTTCTAGTCTATACTCTTATCTCCTTCACTGACTGGGCTAGCAGCAGGAGACTTGAGAAAGCCCCACCCTGATGAGCATAGCCCAAACTGTATGCTTTGATGGTCTCCATAAAGCCCACCAAGCTATGTCTCCCCACAGCTGTTTCCCTGACCAATATCATACTCCTTGCAGGAGTCTGCAAGGTGAAATTAGTCTTGGACCTGGTATCCCTTAACCTGGCCAAGCCCAGCCCTGGCACAGTACTGATCTCATAGATCAGAGCTTGTTTAGTCTGCACATGAAGGAGAGGACATCAAGACCCCTCTTGGGGTTAGACAGCCAAACTGGAACCAAGCAGAGTCAGCACATAGGCAGGAGAATATTCAGCATGTAGATGGTGAACACATTGAAGGCAAAGCAAAATATTGCTTGTTTGCAGCCCCGTGTCAGATACAGGGTGGGTTGGGGGCAGCTATGAGCACTTCACAGATTATGGCCTCAGATACATTGAACAGTCTGTATTTTCCAGGAGACCCTCCCCACTGAGAAGAGTCATATTCAGGAAATGTAGAAGGGAATCTTTAGAAAGGCTATAGTCTGAATCAGTTTTGCTAGTTCAGGATAATCTGGGCTTCAGCTCACAGTGCGGGATTCTACTTTCTGGTCCTTAAGTAGGTCTCTGCAGTGTCCAGCTGTACACAGAGGCCACTGGAACCTGAAACTCAGAATTGCACCCCAGGAATACAGGCATGGACCAGTGATCTCTTCATGAGTGGCTCAGACCAGGCCAGCAGCAGACTCTCTGGGAGAGGTTCCTGTGTTAGTTGGTATATTACAGGCCTTGGTGTTTTTTTTTTTTTTTTTCCCTTCAAAAATGGCCTCCATGGGCTTTCTGGGGTCTAACAGGTTCCTGTAAAAATGAGGTCCTCTGCCTATGATCACTGACCCCTCTCCAGAGGGTGCTGGTATCAAGGGAGATCCAAGTTTCTGCACAGAGCTGGCAGCCACATGGAGCATTTTCTTAACACTGGACATTTACAGATATGATCAACATAAAGATCAGAAAGTGTTCAGCATTAAAAGGAAGTAGGATGAGAAGGGGAGGGTATGTGGAGAGGAGGAAAGGGTGCAAACTTCCCTTTCTTTGTGGACACCATCCTGCTCTGGGAAACCCTGGACAACACAGACTGTGTTTCAGCTTCCCACCTGGTCCACAGCCTAAAGGTTAGACAACCTTGAGGTTCTGGATGCCTTTCAGGTGAGGTGTGTAGAGTGACAAAGGAGGGTAGTTGGGAGTCACTGGACATGAGCTTCTTTGGATTGACCACTGGCTGTTGATCTGGGAAGATCAATATGCCAAGTCTTCTTACTTGTAGACAATGAGAGTGACAACATGAACTCTATATTTCTCAATTTTACTATCATCTAGAGTTATAAAATAGTTCCAGTTACATTTCAAACAAACTATCACACAGGGCCATTATAAGTCAGTATACTGATTAGGAGGTTATGTAGCCTGAGGCAGAGGCCTAGTGTCGTCTAGCTGATAACAGAAGAGATATTCTGTCTCAAAGAGAACATTAAGCAGAACCCTGGCGCATGAGCCATCAGGAGCACAAATCTGAGAAGGCAAAACATTGAGTCATAAGAAAAAAACAGGCATTACCCGAATATTCCCTGAAACTCCCTCTGGGAGATTTATGAGACACAAATAACTAGTTTCTTCAAGCTTAAATTGAGTTTCTAGGGCACAGCGAGGGACTCCTTTTTACAGGTTCAGTGAGATGATTTGGTTATTGGAACAGAGTCTGGGTCCAGCTCAAGTTCACTGTGACTCCTTTTCTGCACAGGGTTACTCAAGAACTGGGATCCTCGGTGAGGCACAGGCTTTAGTTCAAAGGGCAGAGGGACATATTTTTCCTTTTATGTCTTCATGTGCCGTTCTTTCCTTTTGGTTTCAGATTGCCAGTCTGACTGCAGTCCTCTGTCATTGGTCAGTAATTTCCTGGGTCATATTCCAATACTTAAAAATGGAGATAATCACTTCAAGATGTGGCCCTTTAAGGAAGAGAGTATGTTGACAGGCAAATCTTTTTATCAGCTCCAAGCAGAACCTGAGCTTTGGAGAAAGGAAATGGTGGGTTGCTCTAAGATATAAACTTTCTTTCATCTATCAGAAAGGAAATGTGTTTGTCCTTCTGGAAGAAGTTAGTGGTGGTGGTGAAGAGAGGAGGGAGAGTGGTAATTTTTTCCACTGTTTTCTTCCTAAATCTTTATTATCCAGTTCCATGGCCCTTGATAGTAAGTAAAACAAACATTTCTATACCCCTTTCTCCTTCATTCCTGCCCTCTGTTCTTTAAAATATGAGCAACCTCCAAATCATTAGGAGCAGAAGGAAGAATGGTGCTTATGAAGCCTCATTCCTTAGCCATAGCCCACTGCTTCCCCACAGTCACCTGGTAGCTGCTAGACTGCAAGACATTCCCAGTAGGATCCTACCCTGTAGTCAGAGTGCCTGAGCAGGCAGCAGACATTGCCTGGCAAGGAAGTAGGTGCTCCAGAGTCCACTCTGGTCCTTGGGCATGTGAGCTGGGGGCCCATGAATGTTTTCTTTAAAGGATAGACAAAATAGTTTGCAGTCTCACTGTTTGAATGTCCACTTTGTATGCTTTAATCCTGTGACTTGAACAACTATTTCTAAGATGACAATATGTAATCTAGTAACTAGTGATTTCTTACTGATTTTTTTGTAATTCTGTATTACTTGTACCCTTATACTGTTTTGTTTTGTTTTTTTTTCCTTTAAATAAAAAAAAAAAAAGGGTAGACCATAAAGGCAGAGCAAAGGAGATGGAGTAGAAAAAAAAAAGAAATATTAGAAAAACCTAACCAGGGAAGATGCAGTGGAAGGGAGTAGCTTACAGCAAAAGTAGAATAGAATTGGTTAACAGATGAGCACTGTAAATTGCATCTGAAAGTTTGGACACTGAGGGCAGGGGATATGGCTCAGTGGTACTGCACCTGCCTGGCAAGTGCAAGGTCCTGAGTTTGATTCCCTGTACCAAAAAGGAAAAAAAGAAAATTTGGCCATTGACTCCCAGAAGCTATTTCTGTGCCCGACTTGGTAGAGGCAGAAGCCAGGTTGCAGACAGACAGACATTGTGTTGAATAATAATAGAAGAAGAGACATTAGAGGTAGACTATGCTGTAAGTATGGTTGTGAAGCAGAGAGAGAAGGGACAAAGAGAGACTTCACATACACACACATACACATGCGCGCGCGCGCACACACACACACACACACACACACACACACGCAGTATGAATGTGCCGGCAGAGGACATGGATGGGAGTTGATGGTGGTAACTTGAAGGGCAGACAAGGTTAAGAAAGAGGACTCTTTAGAATGTCAGAAATTTGATCATGTTTATAGCCTGAGGAATGGAAGATGATGGTGAGGGAGATTAAATGCCTGTCAGAACAGATGATTGATGATCCTACCCTAAACTAACACAGAGCTGGGTGGGAACTTCCTCAAAGGCAGCTCAGAGGTGAGGGGGAGGCTAGGGCTCGGCACACAGGAGGCATTCTGAGTTACCCGCTAAAGAAGAAATAAGACCAGAACTCAGAGGACAAAGCCAACGGCTGCTGCTTACCCATGAAGGTAACTTTAAGATTCATCAAATTGTGTGAGGATGCCTGAAGAGTCCAGAGACAGGAAGGTCAGTCAGCTGGGGCCATTCAGGAACAAGTTCTGGAAGCATGTATCCTTTGCTGTATACTTTTATATGCATTTTGGAAGCTTGCTGGGCTAGGGGACAGTTCTTAAAAGTGAAAAACTTAAGCAGCATGATGGCAATATGCAGTGTGGCAGATTAGCCTTGGAAAAGGACTGTGTGCTTGATTCTCTAAGACAGAGATTTAAGAGCTATGAATGAGACAATTTTGAAAGACTTTGAAATAGAACTTAAGTTCAATGCAATGATCTACTGGATTTTCATCTTTTCAGGAAATATGAAGAGAGGTTATTTGAGGAGAAAACAAGGCCATTGTGAAGTTTAGAGAAGATTTGGAATAGTCCCTGAAAAGAATCAGCCAGTGATGAATAAAAATTTTGCAGGGCAGTATTAGCAGGTCACCTGTAGTCAGATAGCATGAATTTCTATCAAAATCAATTGGCATTATTAGATGTCTCACTAGAGATTCTCAGGCCACAGGGAGAGGAAACCTAAACAAAAGACTATGAGATTTATCTGAACTGGGCTCTTTAGACAAATGATATCAGATCTGGGGGCTGGGTGAAGGATTTTTTGGTGCAGATAGGCCTACAATTGAAATGACTCACCTCAAGGTATGGGGTAGATAACAAGACAGATACTGCTTCGGAAAGGTGATAAACCAGGGAAACAGGGAATTATTAAGTAACCAGTAACCAGGGAAGAAGAAATTTAAGGTTGAGTGAACAAGTAGGGCGGTTGCAAGGTCAGAAGGTTGTGGCCGGAGGAAAGAATGTCAGAACTCAAGATCTTAGAACAGAACAAACATATTCTGAGTCAAGATAAAGAGGCAGGTTGTGGCTGTGCAGCTGAGAAGCTGAAAGGAAATGGAAGTGAAGCTTGTGGGAGCTGAAGTCACTGTGAAGCTGAAAAGTTAATGAGTGGATCCTGAACTGTGAAGTCATTAACAAAGATGTTGAAGCTTCTGAGGAGACAGAAAGCACCTCAAGTATGTAGAAAAGCAATTGATGAGAAGACAGATGCCTCCAGGGAAGTGGGAGACTGTCTTGTTCTAGATGTTTCGGGAGATTGTGATACCACCGAATAGCTCTCAGAGTGAGAGCTTACAGTGAGAGTAGACATGGATGATATGTGGAGATAAGTAGTAGTCAGAAAGCTGTCTTGAAGAAGGAATAGACATATTCTGTAAGTTGTGTTGTTGTGAGCAAAGTATTCTGCAGTTCAGATGACTGGAAAGAGTGAGTTGTGCTGTGCAGAATCCAGGAGTCTGTTTATGTTGGAAGTTGAAAGAGCAATTAAGGATGTAGGATATTTAATTCCTATTAAATTATGCATTTTAGAAATTCTCGGTATATAGTAGTATCTAGGAGCCTTGCTGGGTCTGGAGATTAGAAAATAGAGCTGGATTGAAAGAAGCTTTTGAAGGCTGATTCTTGTGTTCATGGACTAGGACAGTAATTGTTAATGACAAAGATGAGAGGAGATGATTATGAATGGTAGAAGCATATGATAATAGATACCATCTGGGAGAGAATAAGTAAAAGCTTTATTATTATTGAACTATAATAAGTTAATCAAGCTCAGGTTTCTAATTAAAACTTCGGTGTATCTAACGGGAATGTCTACTTGGACTGTTAGTGTGACCAATTCAAACACTGGCATGACTAATGGAAACAGCTATTGGAACCAATTACAGTATTATCCTCTTCACTTGGAACATTGGAATGACCAACTTGGTAATTAAAACAGCAAGAGGGATTTTTGACGATAGCGTAAAATAGACTCAGTTTTCAAGGCAGATGCATTCTGAGGCTTTTCTGAATTCTACCAAAGCAGTATCTTGAATGCTAATCTGTAAACTGCATGAATATTATTCTAAGACACTTGAGTTGACATCAGGGACTGTGTTTTTACTGGTCACATCTCTTGGTGCTGGAACATACATGAATAAAGTCTCATAGAGGCATTTTTTCCTTAGAATTCAGTACTCTGATATACATTATAGTTCATTTCTAGCTGTTTGCAATATTTTATGGTATTGTTTTCTACTAACTGTAATTTTGACTTCAACTTCTTTTCCTACCTGCTTTAATTTTTGTGAGTTTTTTTGTGATTTATTTTTTTAATGGAATATCCATTTTGTAAACTGTCTTAAATCATTTTTGAAACAAAGCAGTTAGGTGAAGGAATGAAGAGATACAGAGGATGGGGTGAGGAGAGAAGGTAGAAGAGGTAAGTTGTATTTGGGAGGATTGTATCTTAAGCTTTTAAATTCTCAACAGATCATTTCTGTGTGCCCTAACTCCTAAGGATGGTTTGAAAGGGCATTTCCTGGGCTCAGTGAATATTGATTACCTTTTTGACACATGTATTTTTTAAAATTTCCCCTTAAAGTTCTTGGAAGCTTTTTCTCATTTGGGAAACAGCATGGTATTTTAGATATAAATGAGTTCTGGAGTTAAGCATTCTGGTTTGAAAACTAACTCTGTTCATGATTAGCATGTGTCCTTGGCCAAAAGCTCTGTTTACCCTCTCCAAGCCTGTTTCCTCATCTGCAGAATCAGGAACTAATATTACTGCCAAATCCCTGTGAGGGTTTATTAGAAGATGATATAGTAAAAGCACCCAGAAGTATCTGGAGCCAGGAAGGCAGTCAACAAATCCAAGTTCTCTATTATGATGGACGCAGTCATCTACCTTACTTCTTATAGCCAAGTAGTCCATAGTCCTGGCGAGTACAGTGCTGCTGCCTCTGCCCTGTCAGCCATCTCCTAGCCTGGCTGGCTCAGGAAGGGCCATCCTCCTCCACCCAGCTTCAGGAAGGCGTGCCAAGGTGCTGAGGTTCTGGATACCTCCAGATTAGCCCATAAACAGTTTGTAGCCCACCTTGCCAAGATACTGATGACCTTTAAAGCCTGGAAAATCATGTGTTACAAATCAAACTCTGTCTGATGTGTTTTGATTCATGATCTGGGGACAGACAATTCTACATTAATGAAATTAGCGTTGTTGAGTCAGAATGTTGAGGTTACTATTCTGGTTACCAGAGTTGTGTTGCCCAAGAAGATAGAAAATGCTCAGATCATGGCAGGACAGTGTTTGTTTTCCATCTGTTCCCTTGGTCCTGTTGCTCTCCTTGTTGCCATGTGCATTTTCCTTGCTGCAGGATTTTCTCCATCCCATAACATTGCCATTTACCACTGGAAAAATTGTTAAGTTGCTCTGCACTTTGGGAGATGATTCTAGTTTTTGAGGTCCTTTTATAATTCTCTTGTTTGTGTTTAATAAGTATATATATTTATGGTAGACTTGGTGTCAAGGACCTGAAATAGCTGGTTGTAGTTCATCCACTGTTGTAGTGATGGCAGGACTAGTAACGACCTTCTTGGTATTGCCTAATGATCAGGAAAGAACAATCTTCTCATTTCTATCCGATAGTGGCCAAATTGTAGTTTTGGTTCAGCCCAGAAAAAAGCCCACATACTAAGACTCATGTATAATCAACCCAATAGATACTCATTGGATACCCACTATGTGTTCTAACCCCCATTCACTGTAATGCGGTGAATTACAGTGCTAAAGACTGGGCTGAACATTGATTTTGCCCAAGATGTCCTCTAGAAGTTTTGGTTTTAAGAAGTATATTGTTAATATAAGTTTTTGTTTGTTCTGGTAGAGAAGACCTGCTATTTTGCCTTAAAAATAGCAGTGGGAAAAGAAAGTTGGTTTTTTGAAAGGGTACGCATATGTTTTTCCCTGTTTGAAAATAATTAATCATGGTTTCTATGGGGAAACATGGTTTTGAAAAATGTAGGTCAAGCTGGATGTGGTGGTGCACACCCATAATCCCAGTATTGGGGAGATTGAGGCACGACTATCATCATGAGTTCAAGGCCAGTCCAGGCTACATAATGAGTTCAAAGTTAGCTTGAACTGCAGAGCAGGACTCTGTCTCAAAAAAAAAAGGGATGTAGGTCACATTGTCTTTCAAAGGTCAAAGGGTGATGTGATGTTAAGAGCTGTGTTATCCCAAGTGACCCAATGTAACCCAGGCCCATCTCTCAGACCCATGACTCATATGCAGCATTCTCAGTCCTGAGTTATGTAATACAAGACCTTAGATATGGCCTTATGTGATAAAGGTGGAGCTGGAGCCGCCCTTGTTGCTATTGTAGTTTATGACTTTGAAATTTGTTCTTGCTTGCAGGAGCTGCTAAGTCGCACATCTCTTGAGACCCAGAAGCTCGATCTGATGACTGAAGTGTCTGAGCTGAAGCTCAAGCTTGTTGGGATGGAGAAGGAGCAGAGAGAGCAAGAAGAAAAGCAGAAAAAAGCAGAGGTGAGTGTGGTACTGCTCTGAATTTGACCTCAGGCCATCTGGTAACCCAATGCCTGGCAGCTACTGGGCCTAGAAATATGTATGCACTAGAGACACAATGATCAGTTAGCATCAAGTTACCCAGTTCAGCTTTGGCTGCAAATTTCAGCAGTGCCCAAACCACTCAGTTTAGGCTCCAACGCTTTCTCCTTCCTCAAACTGCTGACAGGGATGGAAAGGGAAGTAGTAGTGAGTAAAGGATCTGACAGAACATGGAGAACACAAGATATTTTGAGAGAAACAGAGTAAAGACAGTGTGCTGGGTTAGACATTTCCAACAGGCTACCACCACTGCACCGAGGAGTTGAGATATTTTTTAACATACATTTCACTGACTCAGATGTAAGGGTCAGATTAAGGGTTATATGAATGAAACCATACACATCTTTTCTAAAAGAACTGGGGTGTGTGTGTGTGTGTGTGTGTGTGTGTGTGTGTGTATGCACCTGTGTGCTCCTGCGGATTGGAACCCAAGGCCTTTACACTGAGCTACATCCCTTGGGCTTTATTTTTTATTTTCATAAGAGTCATTAAGTCATTAAATTGTCCAGGTTGAGCCCAAGTTTGTGGTCTTCCTGCCTCAGCCTCACAGACTGTTGAGATTATCGGTATGTACATGCCACCCAACTTTGTTTTCTGTGCTCCAAAATCTGTTGGCTAGAGCATACCAGCCTCCTCTTGGGATAAATGTTTAAAGAATGGAGGCCTCAAAGAGTTGCAGTTCTTTATTTGAGAGAACATAGCCAATTTTAAACTTAGATAACCACCTTTGTGTTTCCCTACCTTTAAGTCCTTATATTCAAGCCTGAGATATAAAAGAAGAGAGATTTTAAGTTTAGAAAACGCTTGCCCATTTTCTGACCTATCTACTCAATAGCTCTGGGAACTTCAACATGTTATTAAATCACTCTGAGCCAGGGATTTAGCTCAGTGGCATGAGCACCTGCCTGGCAAGCGTGAGACTGTGAGTTTGATCCCTGGTACAAAAAAAAAAAAAAAAAAAATCACTCTGAATGTCAATTTCTTTATATATAAAATGGATGGCGTGGATCCATGTGTCTGTTTTTGTTCTAGTACCATTCTGTTTTTATCACTATTGCTTTGTTGTACGGTTAAAGTCTGATATACTGTTCCCTGCTTTGCAGTTGTTGCCCAAAAATACTTTTCCTATTCAGAGTCTCTTCCTGTTTCGTACAAATTTCAGTATTATTTTTATAAATCTGAAAAAATATGTTGTTGGTATTTTGATTGGAACTACACTGAATCAGTTTTGGAAATATGGCCATTTTGACAGTTTTGGTTCTGCCTATATTGGAGCAAAGGACCTCTTTCCATTTTCTGACATCCTTCCTCTTTGATCTCCTTCAGAGTACTGTAGTTTTCTTTGTAGAGGCCTTTCATTTTTTCTGTTATGTTAACTCATATTTTATTTTTCTTAAAGCGATTGTGAATGATAGTGTTTTCATAATTTCTTTCTCATCTCATTCATTGTTAGTGTACACAAATGCTAATAATTTTCATGTACTGACCTTGTATCCTGCTTTTTTGCTGAAACTGGTTATTAATTCTAAGAGCTTCTTGGTGGAGTTCTTTGGGTCTGTCTTCCATGTAGAGTAGCCTGTCATCTGAGTTCTTCCTTTCCTATATATATTCCTGTTAGATCTTTTGTTTAGATCTAGCCTACTTGCTCTGCCTAATACTTCAAATACTGTATGAATAACAGAGGTGGTAGTGGACATCCTAGTCTTGTTCCTGATTTCAGGGGTAGTGCCTTTAGTTTTCCCCTTTTTAGTATGATACTGGCAAGTGGCTTGTTGTAGATGCTTTATCATTTTCAGGTATTCCTCCCATAACCTGTTTTCTTCAAGGTTTTCATCATGAAGGGATGTTATATTTTGTTGAAAGTCTTTTCTGAATCTATATATGGTTTTTGACCTTGCTCCTGTTTATATGATGTACTGTACTTACAAACTTACATAATTCTTGTGTCTCTGGGGTAAAACCTACTTGATTATAGTATACCAGTTTTTTGATAATAGGCTGTATTCTGTTTGCTAGTAACTTGTTGAGGATTTTTGCCTTTCATGAAAGATAATGACCTATAATTCTCTTTTTTAGTTGGATCTTTATTCAGTTTTAGGATCAAGGTGAAAGTGGTTTCCATAAATGAATTTTGGAGCACTCCATCCCTTTCAATTTCTTTGACAGCTTGAGGAATATTGGTGATACCTAAAGGTTTTTAGGAATTCAGCTGTGAATTTATCAGGTACCTTGCTTTTTTAGTTGGTATGGTCTTTATTACTGAGTCAATTTCATTGCTTATGATTGAATTGTTAAGTATATTTATGTTTCCTTGGGTTAGTTTTGGTAGTTTGAAAGTGTATAGAAATTTGTTCATTTCTTCAAAACTGCATCTAATTTGTTGGAACACACTTTTTCAAAGTAGTTACTATCTTTTGGGTTTCAGCAGGGTCTGTTGTAATTTCACCTTTGTCATTGTATTTGTTTTTTTAAATTAAATTTCTTGGTACAATTTAGATATGCATAATGATCAAATTTATCCTAGGGAGCTTGTGCCTGTACACAATATATTTTGGTTCTTTTTTTCTTTCCCATTCCTCTCCCCTACCTTCAATCTCTCTTCTCCTCCCTGTTTACAAAGCTTTGTTTCCATTTTATCTTTATTTTCTCATTTTTTCTTTTCCTTTCCTTTCTTCCTCTATTTCCCCTTCTTTCTTTTTGAACAATTTCTTCCTATTTCACAGTATCTATTATGCATTTTGATTCTTACTTACTTACACTTTCAGTTTCTCACACCAGAGACACAGTGCAATATTTACACATGTCTGTTCAATTTATTTCACTTAAGAGTATGATCTCAAGGTGCTTCCATTTACCTAGAAATGTCTCAAACTTATTCTTCTTTATGCCTAAGTAGTACTCCATTGTATGAAAAAAACCATCTTTTTTATCCATTCATCAGTTGATGGGCATTTGGGTTGTTCTCAAGATTTAGGTATTACAAACTGTGATGCTATAAACATGTGTGTGCATATATCGCTGTAGTATGATGCTTTTAATCCTTTTGGAAAGATACAAAGAAAGGGAATGGCTGGTCAAATGTGAGGTCAAACGTGACCTCTAGTCCTAGTTTTTTGAGGAATCTTCACACTGATTTCCACAATGGTTGTACCAGTCTACATGCACACCAACAGAGGAGAAAAGTTCCTTTTCCCCTACAGCCTAAAAGTAGAAAGAGTCAACTCAAAGCCACTTAAAAAAGAAAGGGGAGGAGATATAGTTGTTGCGCTATACAACTTGGTAACAAAGTTTAAAAGTGCAAAGTTTAAGAATTATAGTATAACTGGATCAAGATAATTTAACAGCATCACTAGAAATCAGTCTTACTGTCTCTTTTGGTTCTGTTTTAGCCTTTTCTCGGCTTTCCTTCCTGGAGACAGAGATGGCCATCAGTAGCTCTACACTGATGTCCTGGCAGCCCCTGCAGAGATAATCTTTTTCAAAGGTTCCGGCAGAAGCACGGGGATTGTATCTCATGGACCAAATTTGCATCAAATGCCTGGTTCTGTATTGATCACTCACTGGCCTCACAGGTGGGGGGGGGGGTGTGAGAGAGCCATCCAACTGTGGAAAGATGCAGAGTGTAGAGCCAGGGTAACTCACTCACTTTATAGGGAATTCAAGAAGCAAAGAGCCCTCCCATTGCTGAAGTCTGTGTCCTATAGCAAGCAAAGGACTGCTTTCTTTTTCTTTTTCTTCCAAAGGAGTGGGTTTTTTTTTTTCTTTTGTCTTTCTGAGACATTGTCTCGCTATGCAGTTTAGGCTGGCGTTGAGCTCACTTTGTAGCCCAGCCTGGTCTCGAACTCACGACAGTCCTCCCACCTCAGCAACCCGAGTGCTGGGATTACAGGCGTGAGCCACCACGCACGCCTGGCTCAAAAGGAGTATTTTTACATCTGGGTTATTTTGCTGTTATTTTCCCTCAGGTTGCATGAGGCACCATCAACTAAGATTCTGGCCTCTGCACTACCAGATTACAGCCCTTCCCAGTTACTAGTACAAATATTAGGTTTCCATGTGGAAGAATTTTGTGGGCTGCTCAAACCTGTGATAAACAGTGAGCAGTCTTATGACCTGAAACAAATTCCGCATTCTCATAATTGAACATACTGTTTTCTGGTGTGCTCAGAACCTCTCTGCTTCTACAGCTATCTGGAGCACAGGGCCTTAAGCCATGAGTGCTGCTTAAGCCACATTCTTGTCACATGATGGAAATGTTTGTTTTGAGTTAGGTATTTTGCTAACTCAGGTCACCAGGGTTTGTAATTGTGTGAATAAAGAGAATGCTACTTCCTTTCCTATATTGCTGTTGCTTTTTCCAGTGAACGTAGTTAGTGGAAGGGCTAATTGCTTGTGGTTTGGAAAAAGCAGGACCTCTTTTTTTTCCATAACCAAATCTGAAATAAACTTCTTCAGTGTAGCTCAGGCTTTATCCTCAAATGCCATTTTATGCTTCAGTGAAATGAAGCTGCTGTTAACAAAAACACTGCAGACTGCTCCTGCCCAGGTCTGATCATACCATAAGCCAGCGTCCTGCCTGTGGTTGAGCTGTGGAAATGATTTACTGGTGTCATCCTAGAACTGAGGATTTGAAAGTACAGATTTCTTGATGGCCAGCACTGTTGGTTGGTACTGGCCCTCATGAGATGTTGGCGAATACCAGGTTTCTGGTTTGCTGGCTCTCATCAGTCTTTTGCAATAGTTCTGGGTCATTTCAGGGTACCCAAGATTAACTCCTGAAAATTAGTGCTGCAGGAGTAACTGACATGGAAAGTAAACACTAGAATTAGGATGATGGGACATGAAAAAAAGATCCAGAGACAAGGGAAAATGTCTTTGTGACACTCCAGATCTGAGGTATTTCAAAGGCATGTCGATGAGAAGGATCTCAGAGAAGACAGACTGCGTTCCCTATAGATGAGAGGTCCAGGGCACCTGAAGCTGGATCCCATTGTGGGACCTAATGGATTCTGGGACAGTTGTCAGAATAGCCTATTAAGAGGGATCAGGGACCCAGGAGTCATTAGGAAATGGAATTATCCCAATTGTTGAGTTACATGAGTAGGGAGAGATCTTGATAGACTCACTAGGATTTCCTGGAGAACATGGAGTATCCTACAACCCAGGTGGTGATACTGACATTGCTTCTTTCTTCTTATGGTCTGGACTTTGGAAGGGAGGGATTCTGATTTCTGAGTTTGAGCTACCAAAATGGTGGACTTGGGAACAGAATGAGGGCTGGGAACATTGTATTTGCTCAGAGATAGGCTAGCCTGATGAGGAGACTTTTATTATCTTTGCTTTTGTTTTATTCATTTACTTTTTAAAATTAGTATAAGTAATATATTTCTACAATTCAAAAATCAAGCATTCAAAAGGATCAAGATATGAACAAAGAGGTATTTTAGGAAAAGAGTCCACGCCCTTCCAAACCAACAACTGAAATGAAGCAGCAATTAACCGGGACAACCAACCGGGCTCTACAATTCCCACTTACAGAAAGTCCAAATGATTCCATGGTATCCCAAGGGAGATTAACAGGGAGAGGTCAAGATCAGAGGAAAAAGAGATTTAGAAGACAGATCATACAGCCAGCTTTCCTACTGAAGAGTCACAGGTCCACAGTATCAGAATTAGGACAAATTCTGGGGCAGGCTAGAACAGTCCCATGTTTGGTGTCAGAATGTGTGGTGGATCCTTTAGTAGAAATGGAAATTAAAGCTAAAGCAAGAATTTATATGGAAAGAAAACTAATTAGAAAGTAAAAGGGAAGATAGGAAAGGATTCCAGCTTGGGTGGCTGGAGGGGGCATACTCTGTTACAAGGATATATCGTGAAGGTTCTGTACTTGTCCTCCAGCTGGCAGTCAGTTTGTTTTATGTCTCCAGACACAGTTTTCCTTAGTTTGTACAAGTGCACACTATTCTAGACCATTGTTTTTTTTAAAAAATATATCAGTCTTAGAGTTCTTTTCAGACCAACTACAGGAAACAATAATAACAACAAAAACATCCTCATTCATATTTTGGCTGCATATTTTCTACTTTGTTCTAATATATTTAACCAGTTCTCTCTCTCTCTCTTTTTTTTTTTTATGTCTTTTTTGTTTTTATCGGTACCGGGGATTGAACTCACAACCGCACACTTGCAAGGCAGGCACTTATGCCACTGAGCTAAATCCCCAGCCCCTAACCAGTTCTCTTTTAATGGATGTTCAAGTCATTTTCAGTTTTTCTCTTACCCATACTACTATAGTGACTTGTCTTGCACCTTTTATAAGGCTCTTGAAATGGAACTGATAGATCAAAGTACATGCCCTTGAAATTTTGACACATTTCCAAACTACACACTATACATAATAGTGGCTATATTCTCACTGCCAGCATTGTTTTTAAGAGTGCCAGGACAGTATTCAGCTGGGTATGAAGGAAGGAGAAAATTAATAACGAAGGATAATTGTGAACAAGTTTAACAGGTAGGAATAGGAGAGAAAGACTGTGGGAGGTACCTAATAGTTTCATCTAGAAAAGATCCCTAAAAAAACTTTGATGATTGGCAAAGCAGGATTAATAAACAAAGTTAACAGAGATTACCACACAGAACAGCCTCCTAAATGACAGCTTCAGAAAATGACATCTCGTTTTCATGATGCATGACCCAAGAATGGAACAGTGTCAACTCATGGGAGGAAAACAGACCTGGTAAGAGTGGAGATGGGCCAGTCTTGGCTATTGAAAAAAAATTATGAAGCTGAATGGAAGTGTTGTGCCTAAGGATAGATACATATCAGAAAACCCACCATGCAGTTAGGGAGAGTTAAGGGAGAGGGGCTCATGAGTTTTGGGGCGTACTAGAAAGGTCACACTGAGCCAGGAGAGGAGTATGTATGTATTTCTAATACACTGATTAAGAGAGAGAGGAGATGGTAATGTAGGGAGTGGAACAAATTATTTCGATAATTTCTCTCAAAATCTCCTGCTGAATACGGAAGTGTTTGAAAGTTTTCTTGTATGTATTTTTGTTTCATTTGCTGTTAGTCTACTTAGAGGGTAGAAGACAAACTGGGAAAACCACTATTATAGATCCACTTTGGAAGCAAAGAGAGGAAACTAGGTTATGAAATAGAAATGATAGGTGTTTTGAGAGTAAGTGAGCATTCCTCCTTGAAAATCGAGGGAAGGGAAAACTAGGTGTAGGCAGAGGTGCACTTTGAAAGCTTAGAATTAAAGAAGCTAGTGAGATCTAGAAGACAAGACAGCTCAATAATAGCTTCTGAGAAAAAAATTTAGCTCTGACTGTGTCATCTCACAAATAATGCCAATAAAAAGGAAGAGCTTCATAGTACCTTGAGAGAGACTAGGTTCCAAAGGGACTTGTACAAAAGATAGAAAGGACATTCACTAAACAAATAAAAGTGCACCTGCATACCCAGTATTGGAAAGGGGAAACCCCAAAGCACAATACTGAGTACAATAGAAAGCCTTTTTAAAAAGCGTGTTCTTAATAAGATCAAAGAAATAATGGATTTGTTTATTCCAATATGTCTGACAGATGAAACAACCTAGGACAGCGGTCCAAAACCTGAGAGTTTTAAGAAATCAAAAAAATCAAATGAATTTCTAGATAACAAAACAAACTATCTGCTTCTTGGTTTTCAACGTGGCAAAAAATGTTACATGAGTTTTCTAAAATCTGGCCTGTTGCACTTGAGAGGAAACTTCTGTTGTTTTACAGGAAACCAGAAAACAAAGTCATGTTCATGTCCACTAGGAGTTCATCCATGTCCACTAGGAATTCAGCTGCTTCATTGTTTGGCTACAATGTGTCTTCTAGCAGTAGATAGGTAGAACACTTTGGTGAGGTGGGATAGTCTCAGGGAGAAGACGGGAAAATATAGACAGAATGCTAAAGCAGAGCTGTGACATCTGGATAAGGTTGGGGTCATGTATAAGTGCCATATAGGCTACCTGTACATGGGTGCTGACATGTTTGGGTATACAGATCAGGGAGTTGGCATGGGTAGCATGGGTATGTTATGAAAAGGAGCTGTGTCTGTCTGTGTGACTCTGTAATCGCTATTGTCACTTCTGTGTCTCTATTGTTACTTCTGTGTGGGTGAAGAACTGTTCTAGACTCTGAACCTTGGACTGGGGATTTAGCTCAGCGGTGTAAGCACTTTCCTGGCAAGTACCAATCATGAGTTTGATCTCTGATACCAAAACAAACGAACAAAACAATAGACTCAGAACCTCCAATTCTGACATGCAAAGATTGCCATTTAGTATGTCACAAAAGAGTTGTCAAGGGTTTGTTCAAACTCTAAGAGAGGCTCATGCATGGGATAGGCCTTGGAAAAATATTTTGACTTTTGGTTCCTTTGCAGAGAGCAGCGAGAAATGCACAGTGACTGTGTTATTCTCTCCTGATGCTTATCCTCAGCCAACTTCCTATTTTTCTTCTTCCTTTCCTCCTTCCCAGGGAGTGCTGCACCTGCCAACTGACTGACCTTGAATGCCTTCTTTCCTTTCTCTTCATTCCCACAGTCGGTTCTGAATGTGATCAGTGAGCTGCAGGAACAGATGTGTAGGCTGCAGCTGGACATCCACAGGCAGATTCAAGAGCGCCTGGTGCTCAGTAGGGACCACCCGGATGAGGTGGCAGCCAGTGACAGTGCAGCCGAGTCCCTGATCTGCAGCCAGGACTGTGCCCCTGTTGAAGGGTCACCTGTAGGAATCACACTTAAGTATATCAGAGCATGCATGTGTGGGGAAGCTCACTGGTGGGTGGCTGGGTTTTCTCCTAACTGAAACAGAGTGCGGTGGCTTAGCATGGATCTGGTATAACCTTGGAGCAGAGCTGGGATTTGCTGGGTCCTTCTGGGGTGTGGGCTGAGCTCTGGGACCTTCACTCAGCAGGATCTAAGCAGGTGAGCCCAACCCAATGACAGGTGGTAACAGTCATCTCCCTTAGGGCTGGGAGGTGTGTCAAGGCAATCTGGCCATGGGGCATCTCTGCACAGGGGAGTCTCAGAATTTGCTTCCTAGGCATATGATCCAGACACTTATTCCTCTTATTGGGCTGGGGGATTAGATGAACCTTTATTGCATGTGATATCTTTTTTTTTTTTATCGGTACCAGGGATCGAACTCACAACTGCATGCTTGCAAGGCAAGCAGTTATGCTGCTGAGCTAAATCCCTAGCCCACATGTGATATCTTTTAAGAAAAAAATAATATCATGAAAAAAGAATCTTTTCAATTTTATGTTTAAAGACATTTATCCCGGTGAGGAAATACAGCACGAGTTTCTATTTGCTGTCAACAATGAAGTCTTCATCAGAATTTCCCTGACATAAATCCTCCACGTTAGGGTGATTTCATAGCCTCTGGGCCACATGCCAAGGTAGTCACAAGATCCTTGAGAACACAATCAGTGTCCCCATCATGTCCCCCACCTGCTTGGGCTGCAGTTACTTACACTGTCCTGATTCAGGGCCTGTCGCTATCTCAGGACAAACTTAGTAGTGTGACAGAGACGTCTATAGTAGGACAGAATCCCCAACTGCTGTTCTTTATAGATCTTCAGGCAAATTCCTAGAAAATGATTCTCAATCTGCTACAAGTAAAAATAGGTGATCAAGGACTTGAAGTGTAATGATGCAAATCATAGATACAGTGACCTCCACTTTGAAGATTTATTTTTTTAAACAGGCATCAATTTTTTTAAACAGGCAACAGATGTGCAAAAATGCACATCTCAGGTAGAAGGTGATCTTACCCTACAAAATTCCAGTGTAAGCAATGTCACTTTAAGATGGATTGGCTCAGAATGTAAAGAATCGTGGGCCAGTTAAATAGTGACTTGAATTTCAGGTATTCCCTCATCAATAAATAATATGTAGCTACTATGTACCAGCAACTGCTGAATGATCAGAAGCTAGAAGTTACATCAAGGGGATTACAGTATAGGTAGAAAACAAGCCAATAACAATTATGCAAATGAATATTTGATTGCAGACTATGAAGGAGACACACAGAGGGCAACAAGAGGGTGCAGTAAAGGGGCCTGGTATAGTGTGGAAGCCAGAGTAGCTTTGCTCAGGGAGGCCTAAATGATGGGCGGGAAGTTAATTTGGCAGACAACTTCAGAAGAGGGAATAATGTTTGGGAAGACTGAGTAGAAACTAAACACCATCCCTTGTGACTAGAGCTTCACCTGGGGAAAAGAGATAGGCAGGGAACTGGGATAAGTCAGACTGGTCCAGTCATGTGTTAAAGTTTATGAGCTTTGAGGAGCAGGAAAATACCATGATCATATTTGTGTTTTAATTCTATGGTTTGTCTGATATTGTTGGGGTCAGTATATTCAGGAGAGGCAAAAGACTGAGGCACTGTTCATTGAAGAGGCTGTCAGACTACCAACTCCCATTGCTAGACCAGAGTCATGGTGCTAGGGTTGAGGGGAGAAATGAAACATTCAGCTATTTTCTTGGAGATGGAGTTGATAAAGTAATTATATGTACAAGGGAAGGAGGAGAAAGAAATCTCAAGGATGACTCCTGGGTTTTTGGCACAGAACAGTGGCTGGATATTCCATTTAGTGAGGCAGAGATGACTGGGACAGGAGGTGGGAATGAAGAATTCCATCTGGGGCATAACAGCCCTCAGATCTAAGTAAGAGGTTTGTTGTATGAGTTTGCAATTCAGAAAGCCTATGGGAACAATGACCTTCATGCCAGCTCTTCTGATAGACAGCAGGACCAAGGTCCCATTGAAGGACATTTTTATTAAAGATGACGGGCATAGTGATATTTTCTTAGTGGGTAGTTTAAAAGCAGAGGCCCTAGAGTCAGAAGATACGGGCTCAGAAGATATGGGCTGGAATTCCAGCTCTGCCACTGTATAAATACAAGCAAATTGTTTAACCATATCTTCCCCAATCACTGCCTCCCTGCTATTCAAACAACACATTCAGAACTTACAGTCTCGTCTGAAAGCCTTTATAGTAGAGCTCCATTTTAACTTTCCAGCCTTATCTCACCCTGTTCTGCTCCAGCCCAATAGATTGTCTCCCTTTCTAGTCCTTAGCTTTACTCTCACTCTCACCTGCATGTTTTTGTCACTCTTCTTTCTTTAACCCAGTCCTCTGAGCTGGGATGCCCATGCTGACTGCTAGCATTTTTTCCTCTGAGTGTTTCATGCCTGTCCTGCTGCTATCACATCTTCTGTGAAGCCTTCCAAGATGATGAACTTGCTCTTTCTTTGGCATGGAGAGATGCTCCTAGTTAGCCTGCTTCCCACAGCCTTGTCTGCATCTAAAGGGAAGAAGCTGCCTCTTTTCAGCATCTCTGTTCCTCCCACTCCCAAGCCTTACCTGTCTGGTTCTCTGCATATTACAGACATACCCTACAGATGGCACAAGTGTCAGAGAAAGGGGCAGGCGGAGCAGACTGTCAAAAGAAAAGGCTGTTTTCTCTCTCATATGCCTGGAACTTCTGTTGTTTTTAAACGACCACACTGCTTTTCGTGAAACACAGACCACGTTTAAAGATCAGAGCTGCCATATGGAGCCTGCTGTGATTGCTGCTGCCCCTGGCATTTCTGAATGAGTTTGACCAGCTGTGGAGACCCAGTGCAAATCTTTTAATCATCGCTACTTTGTCTTTCTCCTTCTTCCTTCTAGGAGCTACTTCAAGAGCTCAAGCATCTCAAAATTAAAGTGGAAGAGTTGGAAAATGAACGAAATCAGTATGAGTGGAAGCTGAAGGCCACTAAGGTAAGGGAGGTTGTGATGCTCGTGGAGGTTCTGTGAGTGGACTCAAACTTGATTTCCAGCAACCTAAGTTTGAAAATGCAAATCAGTCCCACTGTGCTGAAGTCCAGCTCCACCACCCACTAACTGTACAAATTCAATCAAGTTGTTTAAACGTCTCTTAAACGCACAGCAGCGTCCAGATTGTGCAACAAACAGTTGGATCTAGGAAGGCTCCTTATGCAGAGCCTGGGAGAATGAGCTACAGAGATGTGGTAACTGCGTCAGATCTAGAAGGGGCAGTGAAAGAGTGAGAAAATGGATGAGCCACTAAGCAAGCTCGTGACAGCCCATGAGTGATGAGTTCTATAGCAGATGGATAGCAGCATTGTACTGGGTGATAGTTTATAGTTAGATATGAATGCATTCCTAAAATGATGCAAAATTTGACTTATTTTTTTTAATCAAATCATATTTCTTTTAAATTCAGGAGCTTTCTATGTAAAAGACACCAAGAATAAAATCTTTCGTGAAATAAATTTCTTCCTTCTCTCTTTATTTCTTCCTACTTGAAATGCAGGTAATAAAACTAGTGGAATGAATTCAGCCCAGGAATTTATTTTTTGTCCTACATATTGAATTTAAAAATGTCAGAGTAACTGTCATGTAAACATTGAGAAATTTGACATGAAAATACAGTTAGGCTACTTTTAGTTTTTAAAGGAATCTGTTGTCTACAATCTATTTCAAAATAACTAGGAAAGAACAAAAGCTCCTATCAAATAGAAATGATTAATGTTTGAGGAGATGAAAGTGCTTATTACCCAGATTTGATCATTACACATTGTACACATGTACTCAATTACCATATTTACGCTGTACCCTATAAAGATGGGTAAAGATTATGTTTTACATTTTACTTTTGGTAGGGGAGAAAGAGGGAAGCTCTCAACAAGCCAGGAGCCGCTCTTGGTAGAAGGGGCCCACGCAGGCATCCTTGCTTGGGGTACACACCTGCCCTTCTCTGAGGTTCCTACAGTGACTCCCACAGTGTTACCAGAGGTCTCTTTCAGGCAGTTTTATTTTTTGCCTCTTATTTATTTTTCTTAATATTTCTTGCTAGGATGCTCCTAAATTCTAGTTTAATTTTTGTCAACAAGTTAATTGTCTGTGATTATAAAAATAATCCTATTACACAGAATTTCCAAACCATAAAAAATTCAAGGAATCAAGAGCACTCAAACCAGCCAGGAGCCACTATTGTTTATATTTTCTTCTGGGTTGGTTCTTTCTTTCTTTCTTTCTTTCTTTCTTTCTTTCTTTCTTTCTTTCTCTTTCTGGGTCTCATTCTTAATTTCTGGTGCTAATCACCTATATACAATTTTATATCATGCTTTTCATTTAAAATTATATTGTTAAAAGAAAATACTGAACATACTATGCATGCTATATGAGGTATAAGTATAAAGCAGTCTGTTTAACTATTCTACAGAAGATGAAACTGAGGCACAGAGAGATGCGGTAACTCTCCCAAGACCGTGTAGCTAACCAGGACAAACCTGAGCAAACTGGTCTGTGCCCAGGCCTGCTGTTTCCTGCAGGCACCTTATATATGTTGTGCTTCACAGTCATCTGTGCTGGGAACTTTGCTTTTTTGTCCAGTAGCTAAAAACCTTCCCTCTTGCTGCTCCACTGCTGTGAGTGCTGCTGTCTGGTGAAACCTTTGAAGTTGTGTACACCACCCTCAGTTATAAAACCAAACAATCTTTTAAAATTGCCCAAGCTTTTTGCCTTGACATGTAGATGCTAAGGATTATTTAATAATTACCAGGTGTGGAGTACCTCCTGCTTACCGGAGCTATTGAGATCTTTGTACACTTTTCTCATCTAATTCATAAAGTAACCCAGTGGGGTGTGTTTTAATTTTTGATTTTGCTGGTAAGGAAGGAGGGACTCAAGAGTGCCTAAGGGAAGTTCAGAGCGGGGCTTTTACATCAGCTTGAGTCCCCAAAGGGAAATCCTGCCCTTTTGTGAAAATTCTCCAGTTTTCTGCTTCAGCCTTCTCGTTCCCAAAGGGGCTTTCTCTTTGATTTGCTATAATCATAAAGTGTGGTCTCTGGGTTTAATGAGATGCTTTCAGGGCCCAGAGCCCCTGTCTCTGTTTGCCTGCCTGCTTGCCTAACTATCTTCGACCACTTGCAGTGAAGCTCTAGTTTCCATGGAACACTCATGGCTCTAATGGTCAGGGAGAGGGCTTCTGGGCTCTTGCTGGCCTCCCTACGTATGGGCACAGATACCACTCTGAGGATAACAGAGTGCTTGTGGTTTGTATACATTGGCACTAGGGAAGTTGGGTTGAGTCTTTGGTCTGTAGTACATAACAGATGACCACACCCAAGGGGTGGGCCTCAGGTAGAAGGGACCTCAGAGTGCCAGGCTCTGGGCTCTGCCTCGTAGGCCCACATCACTGAAGTCCAGCTGTGGGCCAGCAGATAAGTGTCAGGTTCCTCACACAGACCAGCACCCACCTTGTCTGCAAAGAAAGGGAGAAATGAGCAAGAAGATGTGCAATGAAGCTTAAAAGATTATTTTTCTTGAGTAGTCCGGCTCTTGTCAGCATGAGAGGCATTAGGGTTGAGTGTTGCAAAGCTCATTTTGTCAGAGGCTGCTTACCATTATCCATAAACTCATGGTTACCTGAGTAAGCACTAAAGCTGCTCCACGACTGTGCGTCCCAGTAAGTAGTTTGGCACAGCCAGATGTGACTCTGTGCCTCTGGGTAAGGAAAGGAGTAGAACAGTATTCCAAGGTCAACTTTGTAGTAAGGAAGCCCTACCCCTATCCAGTCTCTTTCCTTTACATAGCTATCTCTGTCCCATCAGTGGTGTCAGGGAAAGTTTGTTTAGAGAGGGGCAGGGAACCCAGTCCGCCTAAGAGTGACCCTTGTTTGTTAATTTAGAAGCAGCAGCCTGGGGTTGGTGGAGAAGTCAGGCTGAGGTTTGCATCCTGGCCTCATCACCAAGTAGATCTCTGACTTTGATACTGAAACATGTAGTACTTCAATTTCTCCCCAGGACCTTGCAGGGATATTTCTTCTTCCCATGGTTTTCTAGGAGGATTTAGTGGAATTTGATGTAAGAAAGCCATGAGCGTGGGCTTGATGCAGGGTGGATGCTCAGTCAGTGTGCCAAGTCCAAAAGCAAGGCCTGTGAGACAGAGGGGACCAAGAGGACTAGTGTTCCTTCGGTTACTTGTGGGTATTCAGATATCAACTCAGGCCACTGTGGGAAAGGACATCTATACTCTCAGGACCAGAGCTGGAACTGATTAGACGCTGCTGCATGAGGAAGGGTAACCAAGCATTTGCTGTGTGTTCCATTGCTTGAGAGTCATTTCTTATGCATTACTTGGTTGATGCTTGGAAACTTAAATGGATTATTCATAAGAAAGGAATAAGATGAGAGAAACAATAGCAGAGCATTTATTGAGCATTCAGCGTAAACTAAGTATTACTAAGTTGTTCATAACCATTACATGATTTAATCCTTACTGTAGTCCCATGAAATACTAAATTTCCATTTTATGGATGTTCTAAGACTCAGAAAGATTAACTTGCTTGTCCAGGGTCAGCCAGACCAGCATGTGGGAGAACACAAAGTTTTTGACTCCAAAGTGAAGGTGCCACTTGAGTTGGGTTTGGCATAACTTTGATTTATATAATGAGTATGAGAAAGCATGGACAACCACACCTAGTATAGAATGTGAAGTTCAGCTTGCTCTGCTTACTGCATGGGAGCCACCAAAGGCAGCTGCTCATGTGTGCTTACATGAGTGTGTGAGCACTGTGTTGATGCTATGTTATGTGGTGTGTGCATATTTTGTTTTTGTTTTATTGCAGAATTATGTATGCTGAGCACACTGAATTGTATGTGTGTAGATGTGGGCAAATGCACACATATGCCTTAAAGCTGAGTAGAGGCATTTGACTGTGCGAAAAGCGTGAGACAGAGTCAAGAGAGGGAACAGAGTATCTAAATGCTGTGGCATGAATATCTCGAGAGAGGGAAGACCACATGTAAAACTAGAATAGTCACCTCTGCACCAAGGACAGAATCTTCCCATTGCACACATTGCCAGCTCCTTGGAACTCAGTGGCACCTAGGCCTCAGGCAGGGAGGGAAAGACCTGATCAGGTAAGAGAATAAAGGGGAGGGGCTGGGGATTTAGCTCAGCGGCATAAGCACCTGCCTTGCAAGCAGGTGGTCGTGAGTTCGATCCCTGGTACTGATAAAAAGTTAAAAAGTTAAAAAAAAAAAAAAAAGATAAAGGGGAAGGAACAGTTTAATGGCCAGGAAAAATGAATTCACTCAGCACAGTTCCATCCTGTGGGGAGAGCAGTGAGCCGCTCTAACTCCTCTCAAGTCTATCTCTAGCTCCTCACGTATCTTAGGGGCTGATGGTTAGTAGACTCTGGGCTCTGATATCGGGCATTTCGTCGTGGTTTGGTGATCCCTCTGACTCGGTAGGGTTTCTCTGTTCTTTTTCAGGCTGAGGTAGCCCAGCTGCAAGAGCAGGTTGTCCTGAAAGATGCAGAAATTGAGCGTCTGCACTGCCAGCTGTCTCGGACTGCGGCTCTCCACAATGACCACACAGACAGAGGTGACTGGATTGACTGTCAGAATGCAGTTGTCCTGGGCCCTGGGCTCACTCTTAAGTATGTGCGTGTATGTATGTAGGTATGCTAATGTGTGTGTACATGTGTTGTAGTCAGGGGTTAGAATCAGGACATGGAATTTATAATATTATTTTATGATGGTCACCCAGAGTTAACACAAAGTGCAGGAAAGTACAGGAAAACTGCACAACACTAAAGACATAGACTATTCAGCCAAGGGCCTGAATCCCATAACAGTGTCCTGCATGAATCCAGATGAAGATCCAGAGCTCATGACAGTGTTTCCCACAAGTCCAACTGGAGGTCTAGAGCCCACAGGAAGGACTCACACCAGTCTCTTTTATGGATCTGTGCTGGGAAGGCCCGAAAGTCAGCAGTGGAAACTAGAAAGTTTATGCCAGCAGGGTGAAGGAGCTGTGCTGTAGGTTAGGGTTCTACTCTGGAGCCAAGAAGTCATGCTCAAAACAAAGACCAGGCTGTCCTGAAAAGCATCATAGCCATCCTCAGTGACACGGAGACCCTGAGTTCTCTGACGATAAGCAGTCGAGTACGTGCCAGGAAGCCAGCGTGACGAGTTCATCCTGGAGACCAAGAGGCACATGTCTTCCCCTCTGGAGCCAGGAAACAATGCTTGATGTAAGGACCAGAGCTTCTCCAGGAGAACCAACAGCTCAAACAGTAATACACAGGAGAACCCACATTGCTTCAACACCTCAACACCTCAACACCTCAGTACCTAGCTTCTTCTTCTCCACATCTCTATTTATGCTGGCAACTTTCCTCAAGTGGAACATCTATGTTTAGCATCCTGCTGATTTAATTCAGCTGGCATTAAGTTGACCACCAGTTTTTAATCCATAACAGTGTGCATCTGTGTATGTGAGCATGTCCAAGTAAGTGGATGCATGTGCATGTCCATGTGGGAGCCTATAAAACACAGCTGTACTGTGTGGAATCGTGCCTTGCACTTCTCCCTTATACAGAGTGCTTGGTTCTGAATACTTTCCTTAGACATTACAGGTAAATTGAAGCTTTATGTGGCCCCTTTTGGAGCTTTTACCAAGAGTGTAGGAAATACCCAACTGGTTCACTGATTTAAGAGCCTTGTTTTTGTGTTATCACCAGACAGGAAGCTTAGCAATTTATCCTACCTGGCATTTGTACAAGACCCTGAAGTTGCAGATGTAAATAATTTCTTTCTACCCTTTAGACCTCAACTTACAGGTAATTTTCTGGAAAGGCTTTTCCTTGCTTACATTAAGTAGCTCCTGCTAGTCCTATTATTCTCTAACTCAGCATCCTTGTTTCATTCCTGGCACTTATAATTTAGCAGTTTTATATTTTGAGAGGTCTTGAGTCATCCTCATTCTGAGGCATATTTGTTTAAGAACAAATCTGCAGAGCTCACCCAGTACCATATACAGCCCACTGTAGCCTTCTATGAAATTCTTGTTGACAAATTAAAGGATGATGACTGACCCCTAAGGAGTTCAAGACTTACGGGTTATAAATAGAGGTTAAATTTTCAAATATAAATATTCTTATTAACAAGCATTGTATATATATGGCTTTGCATCGTGTATGCAGAATGATCATACATCTTCCAATTTCTCCACTTGGCCCTGGCTGCTGGCAATCAGGGAACCCATGTAGCCCTGCGGACTGGTGTCACTATTTTGTCTCACCTTGGCCTCAGTACAGCTTAGCATGGGTCCAAGCTGGGGCGGGAAGGCCATGTATCCCTACAACAAGAGCTTAGGCTTAAAAAATAAATGAATGATTAGTATCCTTCTACCTTCCCCAGCCTTTAATCCGGGTTCTCTCATGATAGTGAGTGTGTCACCTACCAGCCAAGGCCAACCCGTGAAGGCTGGGACATTCTGAACCATCTTATGTGCCAAGCGTGGGTAGAGAGTTCCTGGTACCATAACTTCAAGCCCACGCAGCAACCCCCTCTCCTGCATGTTTCCCTTCAGCCCAGGCTTTCCAGGCCTGCCCCAGTCTCATTATTATGTACTTCTTGGAGCTAGCCCTTTGTTCATTTGCTGCTCAATTGGGTTCTGACCAATGAGTCCAGGTTTGTCAGTCTTCATCTAGAATTTGCCTCCTTTACCTCTCACCCCTCACAAACTGAGCTGCTTGGCTGATACCAGCTTCTAGGAGCCTAAAAAAATAAACAAGGTACTCTCCATTTTACTATGAGACTAAATTCCAGTAACACTATTCAAAGTCCCCACATTTGCTGTTCTGTTTTTACTGAATGTAACAAGCATCCAAAAAGAAATAGGATGCCTGTACCTTTGTCCTTTATCTGTTACACTTTTATTATTTAGTCATTCGTATTTCCTGGGCAATACTCAGTCTAGGACTAGTTACAAGTCCTTCCTTGGAAAATTCAGATATGTGCCAGTTTCTGCACCCTTAAATGTCTCATAAAGGACCTCCAGTTTCTCAGTAATTGGCCTTTCACTTGGCTCTTGAAATAAATTTGAGAAGTCAAATGAGTCCTAGTTGGGTCTAACATAAGAAAAAACCACAGAGTTTCTAACACAGATTACTACCAAACCCTTAGCCCATAAGGAAATTCTGTAGATTTATGATGAAATAAGAGTTTTCCTTTAACCACAGTGTGTTTTAATTTATTGATAGATCTAAACCTTTTAAAATTACAACTATTTTATCTTAAATTAGGCCAACTATGAAATTCTTTTTAACCCGCAGCTTCCATTCACTATAGACATTTTTATTTCTCTTATTTTAAATTCTCCTCCAGTTATAGTTCATTAGGCTTTCCAATTTTCTCTGAAACCGTTTATCAGCTTAGGGATATGTTGATACAGAGTCATAATACTATGTTCTTAGGAGTTGTAGATTGTGAAGGGTTTTTGGCTCCTTTATGTCACATTTGAGAAAATGGCATTTTTATTTTGCCCATAATTGTCTGTAAAGAAAAAACAAAATAGTAGATTCATTCACTTAGTAGTCCAAAAAATATTTGGTAAGGCTGACTCTGTGCCCAATCACCATCCCAAGTTCTTTAAAGAAATAAAGGAACCGTGTTCACATGAAAAGTCTTCAAATTTGAACTTGTGGGGCATTTTAGCATACAAGAGTAGCTCTCGATATTTATATAACTAATTATTTCTGCCTAAATTCTTTTAGACCAAGAAATTCAACGTCTGAAAATAGGCATGGAAACATTGCTGGTTGCCAATGAAGATAAGGTAAGATGGTCATTAAATAATCCTGTCTTTTCTTCAGTTCAGTCTGGATTCTATGTGTCTATTTTTCTGGACAGAGGCATCCCCAGCAAGCCACTGACACAGGGAGGGTCAAGAGGGCAGCTTCTGCCTTCTAGAGACTCAGTGCAGCACTTGTTTTTGACTTTGATGCTTGGAAACTTTGCCTAAATGCAATCTCTGAAAGGCAGATTAGAGCTCTGCCTGTTGATGATAGTATGGGGAAAACTACCATTGTGGTTACTATCAGTGTGATAGCTTCTCCTTAGATTCCTAGCAAAACTCAAGAATAGTTAACCAATCTCCCATGTCCACAACCTATTTCTATGACAGAGCCATCATGAAAGCACTTGGCAGCATATAGTGCCTCACTTTACCCTGTCACCTTATTTCCTTCACATCTAATTCCTGCATAATCATAAAATAACCACATATAAATAAAAAGCACTTATCTACTATAAACATATCTCTGAGAATCTTAATGGTGCATTTTACAGATGAGAAAACAGACTCTAAGTACTTACTTTTGCCCAGAGTCAGGTAGCTAATGGACAGCAGGGTCATGGTTCATACCCTGGTATATCTAATTCCAGGCCTCCTACATCCCTAGACACTTCCCTTGAAAGAGCTGATCCCCTCTGGGGATTTCTTCTGTCATGCAGCATTTCACAGATTCATAGGGAATAGGTAATGATATCAGGATAAATACAACTTTGTTTTAGTCTTACTTTTGTTTAGCTACACAGGGCAACACTGAAGTGAGAGACAGGCTTCATCAGTGGCTACTTCAGGAGTGTGGTGGGTGATGAGGTGCATGCTCTGCAAATGTGTAAGCCCCTTGAAGGGTAGGACAGTGATTGCTGACCACAACCTTCAGACAGTCACGTCTGTAGCTGCCCCAGAGGCAGACTTCTGGGCCCTAGATCTATAGCATTGGCCCACTGTCTCTTTCCTTTAAGATGCTTCACAATTTCCACCTGGAATCTCTTCTCAGTGTGCCCAGGATATAGATGGACTCCAAAATGAGAGCACCCAAGGAACCAGTGGTAGTGTCAGTTTAAACCTGTTCTCTTACCTCGGCAGGACCAGCGGATAGAGGAGCTCACGGGGTTGCTGAACCAGTACCGGAGGATGAAAGAGATTGTGATGGCAACTCAAGGTAAGAAGGCTAAGCACAATGTCTTCCCTAGAAAATCTTCCATCTTCTTTATTAAGTCTCAGCACAATTCTGTCAGATTCTTTTATTTCCATTTGGAAAAGATGTACTGAAAAAAATGGAGCATTTAAATGTAGGAAATTGGCAGCTTTTGATTTCTAGAAATTTTATCAAGTGATAGTTGAGAATTTTTAGTAATTATCCACATGACCAAGAGAATAAAGGCCTCAGTTTTACCCCTTGGGAGTTCTCACTGCAGGAGGGGCACCTGCACATCTGTTAGGATACTTCTTAGAGACAAACAGAGTTGAACCTGGATCAGAAATCAGTCTGTGCCCTTGTTGGAGATAGAGCTTGTCTCCTCATAAGGCACCAGAGATCCTTCCTCGAATCGCCTGGTACCTTGGTTGCCAAGAAAGTCACAGGAGAGAGAGAGGACAGGACACACATGTTCACTGTGACTATACCCTCAGGTTGAAGGGGATGGGAGCAGTCTGAGGCTCAGGTCTATCTTCTGTTCGGGGACATCTTGGTAAGACCCTGGTACTGCCAAGGCTAGGACTTTACCTTTTTAGTCAGGGAGATCTGGGAGTTTCACACTTGCCACCCAGGCTAATGCAACATGCAGGCAGTGTCTGTTTTCTTTTGGGCATGGTGGTACATATCCCAGGCTTGTCTCTCATGCCACTGATCTGGACTCTGATTACCTGCAGAAGGATGGGTTTCTCAACAAAGGGCTAATTTTCAAGGTGTTTCAAACCCTCTGATTCTGACTCAGTTGTTGCTTCTTGAGAGGGGACAAAATGTCCTGGGATTCTAACAGCCCTCACACAAATGTTGCAGCCCTCTTTTCTCTACCCCTTTATGATCTTGGACCAAGGCACTTTCAAGGCCTGACAGCCCACGTCCAAGAAGTAAGTAGGTTGGAGGCATGGTTTGCCTTACCTCTGTTTCAGGGATCAACTTTGATCATGAAGTGACCCTCATCACAACCCTTGCTTGCTCAAATGCCTAAAGAATTTTCTAAATCATATTCTTGATTTCCTTTTATGTATTTATTAATAAAGGAGAAATTATGTTAGGGTTTGGTGATACACTTAAAAGTTTCTGAAAAATTCACAGTGATCGTCTTAATTTCTTTTTGTTGCTGGGACACAATACTGGACGCCCACAGTTTAAAGGAGGAGAGATTTATTTTGGCTCACATTTTTTAGTGGTTTCATGGTCAGCTAGCTCCAGGGCAGAAATGGTATACTGGAAGGGGAGGACTGCTCATTTCCTAACTAAGAAATAGATAGCAAAGGGAAAAGTTGGGACGTGAGATAAACCCTTCAAGTCACCCCCTCAGTGACTGCCAAGCCCCATCTCCTAAGAGTAAGTGATCTGTGAAAGAATCAGTGTGTTAACCCACTAGCACCCCATAGCCAGTCATTTTCCAGCAGCCTACTGCTAATACCCCTGAGGGGTTTGCAGGCCCTTCCAAACCTAAACCATAACAGTCACTATCCAGTACTTCTGCTTTAATGCTTCCAGGGTCTTCTGAGAGAACTCTCTTAATCAATGAAGAAGAACTGGAGGGAAGTTTCAGAAAGCGGAACACTGCAAATAAAGGCCCTGAAGAATTATTAAAACAAGAGGTACCGTGTTTCTGTCCACAGTGTAGGGTTGTGGTGACCCCGAGAGCGTACTCTTAGCCTAGAGGAAGATCTAGTCAGACATTGGTTCATATGCATGTTCACTGTGAATAATGATATCTATGGAAGAGCACTAGCTTGTAATACCCGAGAACTTTCACAGGTAGGACAAAGTCCTACCTTCTAATCAGCTCCTAGTTTGATTTTCTTTCCTCTCTGGAATGTAAATGTAGATTGAAGGTGGTGCTTGTTTTGTTTACTACTATTTGTCCAGAATCTGCAATATCCTGGAGAAGAGAATTTAGCAAATATGCATTGAGAGATATCTGTAACTTCTTTTTGCAATTTTTTTAAAATTTTATTTAAGGAGAAAAGAAAAAAAAAGCAGGGAAAGGGTACAAGTTATGCAGATTTACAGAAAAAAAATGAACAGTAGGAAATCACTAGTTAATGGATTACATATTGTCATCTTAGAAATAATTGTTCAAGTCACAAAATTAAAGCTTGTAAAGTGGACATTCCATCAATGATACTGCAAACAGTTCTGTTCATTGATCCAATAAAACTCTGTGATATCATTTTCTATCTTATACACTTAAATATACATGCAGTTATATAGTTTGGAGCACTTTCTTTTCCTCTCTTTTGTACCATGACTATTACACATTTTGGGTTTCATTGCTCCCACGGTTCTTTTTACTTTTTTGGAAGAGAGTAAAACCAAATGTGACATAACAGAACAGAATCGGTCAAGTCAAAAGGGTGGACATAATAGATAATGTAAAAACATGATACAAGGTGATCAACAATGGTTACCATAATGCCTCCCGCTATCTCTAATAGAATTGCCTATATTGTTAGTTATAATACAATTGAACAAAACAGTAAAGAATAAAACCGACAAAACCAAAACATTGGAGACATTGTAGGTCTTCAAAAGTAGATAAAAGTCAACAAGAATGGGCGTCATGATGTATCTCATTATCTTCACAGCTGATGCCTAAACTTTCGAACCTGATACTATCCAGCAAAACAGAATAGGGGAACATCAGTTAAAAACCAGATGGTGAGAGTAATACAGGGCTTTAAATCAAGGTAATGAAAAGTCAAAGTGGGTTACTATAATATATCCTGCTATTTTTTTTCCTTTAATTAAAAGGATAAAGATAAAAAAGTAAATAATGGAGTGGAGATTGAGATAAAAGAGGGCATAACAACGAAACAGCGCAGATCAAAACATAACCATTTAAGCAGAATAGTGTTTCACCACCAGATAATCCTAACCTAAAAGTAGTTACCATATTCTCTTTCTTTGAAATCCTTGAGTACAACTTCGTATACTATAGCATTAAGTATATCAAAACAATGTAAAACCATTCAAGAGAATGACAGCATTACAGAGTATTTAGAATCGACTAACAGAAAATGAACAATGGTTTCTGTATAATCTCCTTGTCTTTAAAAGCTTTTTGCTTATACTATCATACATAATAAAATCCAATAAGATACAGCCTATTTAGACCATTGGAGACAGAAGGACAAAAGCTAGATGAGACTTCAAAACAAGATGATACTAAATCAGTATTACCTATTAAGATGTCATTTTCTCCACAATAGCTGTTCCTATCATCCAATCTTCTCTGCCTCATTTCTGTTGAGCTCTTTTTCTGTCAGTAGCTGTCAGTTTGTCTTCTTCATTTTGTTCTCTGCTCCATTCGTTGTGGCCTCTCTGCCATTATTTCTGGATTCTTTGTATTTTTCTTTTTTTAGAATATCCTGCAATACTCTCTGTAGAGTTGAATTGGTGGTTGCAAATTCCCCCAGTTCTTCTTTATCCTGGAAGCACCTTGTTTTTCCATCAATTTCCAGGGACAGTTGTGCAGGATATCTCAATCTTGGCTGGAGATTATTATCTTTCAAAGCTTGAATTATTTCCCCCCACGCTCTTTGTGATTTGATGGTTTGTGCAGAGAAATCTGCTGTAATTCTGATGGGTGTTCCCTTGTAAGTGGTCTGTTTCTTGTCTCTTACAGCTTTTAATATTCTGTTCTTGTATTGAATTTCTGGAATTTTTATTATTATATGCCTGGGTGTTGCTCTGTTTGGGTTGTAGATAGCTGGGGTCCTGTATGCCTCATACATCTGAGTTTCTTTACCTTTTGCTAAATTAGGAAAATTGTCCTGGATTCTTTCTGTGAGTAGCTTTTGTAGTTCACTTGTTTGTGTCCCTACTTCTTCTTTTATGTTCTTAATCCTTAAGTTATGGATCCTCTTATCATCTTCTTGTCTTTGTATTACTGCTGTTTGTTTCTTTGTTATTTTTAAGAAGTTTTTCATTTCATTCTCCCATATTACAAGTCTGCCCTCCAGTTCAGATAGTCTGTCCTTAGTTTCTTTCAAGCTGTTATGCCAGTCTTCGATAGACTTCTTAGTGTCTTGGTAGTCCCTTTGAACCTGCTTCACGTATTCTCTGCTTTCTCTGTTTTCTCCATCAAACAATTCTCCCCTTTTTTTCTGTTCTTCCATTCCACCACCTGTTTTTTCTTGGGTGGTACTTAGCATTTCTCTTAACTATTTTGCATACTTCTAGCTTCAGGTCGTTGATAACTTCATTCCTGAATTGGTCTATGAGGCTCTCTATATGGCGCCTTATGTGTATTGGTGCGGTGTCTGCTATTGCCTGTTTCTCAGAATTGGGGGCCGAGGAGCCTTTCTTGTTGCTGCCTCTTCCCATGCTGCCTCTTCTTCTCTGTTCCTTATATATGCAAGCTTATATAAGAGGCCCAGCTTCTCTCCCAGTCAGCCACAGCCTGATCGAATTGCGCCAGTTAGGTGTTCCTGCTCACCACTGCGCACCAGGGAGTTACGGACCAGGCAGCCTACTTGTCTCCCCTCCCGGCCAGCGTCAGGCTCTGGGATCTGGGTTGGGACAGCCTACGGGGTCCGCCGGCAGCGTCACGCAGGCCAGGCACTTTTCACCAATCCCGCCCGAGAGGGAGATGTGTGGCTGGAGTCGCCACCGCGCCCTGCTCCCGCAGGACCGCTCGGGCCCAGAAAGTCCTCTGCTGGAGTCAAACTGTGGTAGAGTGTCAGTTTCTCTCACTCACCTCACCACAAGTCAGTGCACGCCTCCCTGCCGTTCGCAGATTGCCGTTCTCAGAGCTTCTGCGCGTCTCTCTCCTTGCCGAGCCACTGTAGAGGCAGCCAGCCGCCGCACGGCGGGAAACCCAAATCACGGCTTACAATGGCGCGGGGTCCAGCCTCCACACCCAGGCTTTTCTGTTCCTGTTTTATCACCAGGACTGCATTCCAAGTTGGTTTCTCTCAGCCCAGTTCGTTCCTGAGTCAGCAGAGCATATCTCCACCTGCTTATGTCTCCTTAGTCCGCACCATTCCTGGCTTCTGAGCTGAGTCTTTCAGAGAGCCTCCGGTAGTTGCTGTTATCTGTCCGCCATGTTCTCCCCGAGATATCTGTAACTTCTGAAGTGATACATTTCTGTTTCACAGATAATCTCGTCAACCCCATGGTCAGCATGCAGATTTACCTTCTCTTTGATTTGAAGTCTGGTCCTATCATACGAGTCTAGACTAAATATAAATGAACAAACAAGCTCATGAACATGGACCTCAGGTAGAAGAGAGACTTCAGCCTCAGGGCCAGAAGATTCATGAAATCCCAAACAGTCTTATAGAAGAGTCTTAACTCAGTCATCTGAATTAAGAGCACACAGCAAGCCTGTTATTGAGTCAAAGGAAGTGCCTCACATTTCTGGCATCAACAAAACAGCAGTAACCAGGGCTCACTCAGTACCTCTGTGTGGTTACTGTGATTTGTACTGTGCAAGGCTCACCTGTTTACTCCTCATGGAACCTTGCTGGATGCTTAGTATATGGTGATTAAGCTAAAGAGTAAAGGGTCTAGATAATGTACTTGAGGTCATACTGCAGATAGATGGCAGCATCTGAATTCTAACCTCAGTCTGTCGACCACAAAACCCAGCTATGCTGTAATGCTAGGGTTCTTCCTATAGTAAAGCAAAAGGACTCTGGGCTGTAGGGAAAAGAAGCCATCTTTGCAGTCAGTGCAGCACCAAAGATACCCCCATTAGCTCACACTTGCTCCCCTGAGATGCTCTTTCCTTTTTGCCTTCATGGTGAGCTCATTCTCACTCCTCAGACTGAAGCTCGTATGACCTCCCCTCTGAGGTCTTCTCAGCATTCTTCATCCTTCCCTGTATTCCTGTATGTGCTGTAGGTACTGGTTTCATAAGGACAAGAGGCATTACTCTTTTATACTTGTTTAATTGTCTGCTTTCCACTATGGGATGTAAGCCCCTCGCCTAGCATAGGGATGGCAGGCAATAGACATTGCTGATGTTTCTTAAGCAACTGTGTTCTCCCTTGCCAGCCACAGAATTTGACTCTGGTTAATCTAAGACAAAATGGAATGCTTTTGAAAGTCTATATAATGGCTCATAGAAGGAAAGGAGAAACTGGGGAGCCAAGTTCAGAAAGGGTAGTAGTGGCAAAAGCCTAGAGACCCAAATTTAGTATTCTATGGCTAGGATAAGAATTTTATCTAAACTCTGGAGATTAAGGAGGAAAGGCAAGTTATCTAACTCACTTGGCATCTTCTAAGAGCAAGGTGTCTGTTTTGAGGTACCCACCTTGCCTGTACCTAGGAGTAAAAATGCAGCTCCCCAAAGGAATCATCTAAAGAAGAGAAAGGATCATCCCCAAGTAGTAACTTTCCTCCCCAGTGTCTTTTTTTTTTCTTTTTTGCAGATGCCTCCAAAATGCAGCTCTCCCAAGATGGGGCCCCCTCCTCTGCCACAGAAGTCACTGGAAACCAGGTAGAAGTCTTGACAATCTGTCTAGAGTCTCTGTGCTCACAGGTTCTCTTGGGGTTCCTGAAGGAGAAGCTTGCCATGTGTGCTGAGCCTAGCCACCCTGCTCTGGTACCTGTCAGGGCATCACCAACCAGGCTTACCTCTCCTGGCCTCAGCAGGGCGCTTTTCCCATATGCTGGGATCTAGATCATTGTCACAATAAAGATCTGGCCAGAGATGTTGGAGCCTCAGAAAGAAGTTGGCTACAACTCGTTCAGGCCTTCCAGTGGCTTCTTGGAGTTGAGAGCATTCCATGATACGTGTCAGTCACTCCCATCAGCCTCTACGAAATGTTCTTGGGATTGAATTCAGTCCTTTGTCCACCCAGGTATTTTAGGGAGAGCCATTTCATCTCACTGGAAAGTTAATCCAATTGCTTTAGTAATAGTGTACTTGTAATGAGCTGACCTGTATAATTATTAGCTACTACCTGGATGGGTCCTCTAAAATTAACCAATCTCCATGTGAGGGACACATGGAGATGTCACCACCATGAACAGGTTCTAGCCAAGGTGTCTGGGGAAGATGGCTATAGCATAACAGAAACTTCCCCAGTGCCCAATTTCTGGAGAACAGTTGTTCTTCCAGGGCTTAAACCCCGTAGAAAAATGGCAGTATCTGAGAGGATAATGGGCCAGTCCTAACTTTGCAGAACAAGAAATTTAGTTTATAATTCATTTGGGAAATTAACAATGAGAAACTCATGCTGAACAGATTAACGAGACTAATGTATATAATTGCTGATTTATTTCTACAAATGAAGAAGTATGAATTAGTGCCAGGTTACCCTTGAGGCCACTGGTGGCACTGCCTCTTCTCTCCCTTTTGGCCCCATATCTGCAGAATAGCCCTTGTGTAAACAAAATTCCTCTGAGCAGACTGCTATGTCTGCTAGGCTGGAGAATCCAAGCAGGTGACACTTGGGATTTGTGGCTGGCTGGTATTTTTGTCTCTACTCTAAGAGGTCACCAACTTCTCTCCCTTTGATCAGTATTAGCCTCACAGTCAAGCCAGCATCTGTGCTTTTCCTGTCCTTTGACTTGGCAGACATTGGACTTTTGTGTGAGCACAGGGCAGTCACTTTCCATCAGTGCAACAAAATTAAGTGTACTCCAGCTTTTTGAGCAATGTCTAGGGACTTTTCAGTGGGATCTAAAGCCCTCACCAACATGTGATCGGACCATGCTACTTCCAAAGGTGGGCCAGTCTGTCTTATATATTGGATACTTTGAGAGAGTGTTTTAATTTTTATGCCCTGACATTTACTCTGAACTCAAGACAGACTACTACTGACTAAGTACAATCAATGTCCTCTCCATGTTGATACCAGGTATCTCCTTCCCTAGTAACTTTTTTCTTTGTTTTGTGTTTGTCTAGAGCTCAGAAAAAGCTCTCCTGTAGTCTAGAAGACTTGAGAAGTGAATCTGTGGATAAGGTCAGTCATCAGTCTACGCAAAAGATTATTCAGATACTTCTCTGGGCCCATCACAATGCTATAATATGCAGTTCAATCATGGTCCTTACCTTTAAGAGAAACCTACACAGTTGCTGAGGAGGCAGAATTATATGAACATTTTTAGAAAAGAAGATAGATTGGCCCAAGGCAATCATGAGACAGGACCAGTCAGAAAATGCTGGCTGGAACTGATGAGTGTGCTTGTGGCGGGCCAAGAGTTGCTAAAGTCGGGTAAATAGTGGCAGGTTTTGGAAATCGGTGGAGAAGCAGGAGAAAGAAAGTTAGAGCCATTGTGAGATGAAACCAGAGAAGATCACAACTATTGGTCCAACTATTGGCCCTATCTTCCCAGGGCTGTAGCCGTCATGGTAGAAATTTTGAAGACAGTAATGTGGATAAAGGAGACAATCCAAAGAGTAAGATCTATAGTAACTTAGAAGACTGAGAGGCAGCTTTTAAACAAAATTTAGAAAAGCTATGAAAAGGGCTTTGTGGCCCCTTACCTGAGGATAACCCTTGACCATGTGGGTGGACCCTCTGCTGGAGAAGGAGCACAGGCTCTTGAACTTAGTCAGGAGGGAACAAGGACTCCTGTCCTGATACAGCCTGCAGGAAGCCCATGCCGTATGTCATTTCCTGGCTCCAGCACAGTGCCCACGTCCCTAGTGACAGTAGATATCCATAAATGCTAGAGCTGGGCAGGAGCCTTGCTTTGCTCACATGGTCATGTGCTTCATATCCCCCTGGTCAGATTATTAGCAGCTACCTAGATGTTTTTCCAGCATTGGACAGGGACCTGTATTTGTTATCATGAATAGTGATACATGAGGTGAAGGGGTGTGTGTGTGTGTTTGTGTGTGTGTGTGGCCCTTTCAGCTGTAAGCAGATGGATTAGTCCTGAGTTTTTGTTTGTGACTAACATAAGTCTCTTTTTCTCCCCACAATCAAAATCTTTGTCACTCCCTAGTGTGTCAATGGGAACCAGCTCTCCCCTATGACAGAACCCAAGGTACGTTAACTTCATGCCTCTATCAGCTATCTGTGGTGGTACTGTTTTTAGAGTGTTGTAGCAAGTTGTAGCCCTGGATCCATAAAATACATTAACCATAAAAGGTAAATAGGTAACAAGAAAACTAAAATTCTTTCCACCATTTATCTTTATGTGCACTCATATGTACAATGTGCTTTTACTGCCATTGCTTGTGGGATAGGATTTATTATTATCATCTCCATGTCATAGACTTGGAGATATTAATCTTTAACAGTGCAATCTAAATTTAATTGCTGAAAAAGGAGATACAGTGATCTGAGCACCCAAAAGAGTATGGCAGCCCTTATCTTTCCTATGCTGATGTGTCACACAAGAGGACACCAAGTCCCCCTTTAATGAGCAAGTTGTGTTATAAAAATTCCATTAAAACTGATTTTCTCCTAGGAAGTCTGATGTGGAAGATGATTAAATTTCCAGATCAGTGCACAAGTGCTCATCCCATAATGAACTGAAATTTTTGCATGATTAGCATGATTTCAGCCACCCCTAACCCCCATTTATAACACCATTTGGGAAATGTGTTGGTTGTGGGCCTCTCTGACTTCCACTTTCCCCAGGTGGGCTTTGGTCTGAGAGAGTTGTTTTTATACATTCACACCAATATGAAAGAATGGGACATCTTTGTCCTTCACACTGTGTAAGAGGAAGATCTGGTCTGTACCTCTGCCCCTAGTAGGGAACTTCTCTGCACTGTCACATTTGTAGCACTTGGTGCTCTAATTAGGCAGCTATTCCTTGAGCCATCTGAAATGCAGAGGAAATATCTTCTACCTGACCCACTATCCCTGTGCTTTGGAAACACAGTCCCTTGATCCTGGAGTCCCTGTGATCCCTTGGAGAAAGCCGTGGTGTGGAGACTGTTGTATGACCCTTCTCCCCCCTCATCTGCGCAGAGGACACTCACAGATGTTTCTAGGCACACATGTATCAGTCTATCTATCCCTCTGGAAACACAGCTTGGAGACATGGATTGGATTACCAAGACATATGAGTGATACGGGATTTATGAATGATATGGGATTTCTTAATGAAGAGAAAGTATAAACATTCTAGATTAGAAGTTTGATTCTAATGTAACTCTGACAATAACCTTTAACTTAGTTCAACATGGCCATCTCTTTAAATACACACACACACCAACTATACTCCAGGACCATTGACAGGTACAATAATCTCCTACATCAGCATACTCTAACTTTGACCTTGCAGTCAATAGACCTTGCTTCAGTAGACCCTTGAACTTGTTACACTGTAGACCTCCTTGTATGCTTTTCCAGCTCTGACTATTATTCATGTTGTCTGAACTTCTCCAGAATTACATCCATCCTCTTGCCCAGCTGTCCTGTGCTCTGAGTCAGTCTTTCCTAATTCTGACAGGTCTAGAATTAAGTTCCTCCAGCTCTTTGCAAATGCTCTGTTATCTGGGCTGAATGTCCTCCGTTGTTCACAGATCACCAGTCTGGAAAGCAAAGGTTTCTCAAAGGACTTTTCAAGTTGTGCCAGGGCCACACTTAGGTGTGATTTCTAGATGTCATCTGATCTGTGCCATCCTTAATCCATACTGATGTAGATTGCTATCACTCAACATGACATTTTATGTGCTCTGTTTATCTGCTGTCCACTATGTACTGGGCCCTGTCCTTAATGTTTTACAGAAACCAGGGACAGGAATTGGTATTCACTACTATAATTAGAAACTACAAAACAGAGATTGCGAGAGGTTGAAGAGAAGTGTGTTGTGTGTACCATCTCTACCTGGTCAGGAGGTGTTTGTGATGATACCACCAAAACCTGTTTTGAGATTGCTTTGCCATCCTGTATTTCAAGTGTGCTATGGAACTAGAGCCTTTCCCTGCAATTTTTTAAGCTTTTTGAACACTGCTTTCCCACGGTCAGTGGTTCCTGGGGCTGATCGTGTATCAGAATGATCTCAGACGCTAGTTAAAACACAGACTCCTGGGGTGCTCTCCAGAGGGGTTGATTCACGGGGCTGGGAAGGCAATGGGGAATGCATGTTGTTTTTGCAGTGCTCCAGCTGAGAGTGAAGCAGCCACTTGATGAACCAGCTCTGGGGAACCGTTGATCTTGCCTACATGTCTCATCTTGTCCACCTTCTATCTCACAGATCATCACAAGCTTGAGAATCTCATCGTCTTCATCTCTTAGGTTCTAATTACTTCTACTCAAAGTGAATTTGGAAATGCATTGGTCTCTTGACTTTTAGCTAAATGAAGCTTCAAAAGATGTCTCTATTACAACAGTCTCTCATTCTTGTTCTGATTTGCCAGTCTCAAAATCTTTTTTGTGTGTTACTTTTCTTCTGGGCCCAATCAAGTGATCCACAGTTGATTCCCTCAGTGATGTTACTTTTATTTTTCTCTCCTTTGTGTGTGTGTGTGTTTTCTCTTGCTCTCACCATAGACTCCACTTTGTTTCCCTCAGGTTTGCCAATATATGGGTCATTATATCTTTTTCAACAAAACAAATTCTACTCTTCTTGCTTCTTTAATCAACTTGTTTCTTTGGGGCACTTTATATAGCCAGGGCTGTAGCACAGAGTCTGTTGCACTGAAGTGATATTTCCTGCGGTTCCTAAGGGTACTCTGTGTTGGCGTGTAGCCCTTTTCTGTTGTCATCTTCCCCAAGTGTGTGTGTACCTTCTTGCTTTGCCTTAACATGATGCTTTTCAAAAGAACTGTTATCATAATATGGATTTGACTGCCTGATTGATTGGTTGGTTGGTTGGTTGAGACAGAGTCTTAATGTGTTCCAGGCTAGCCTCTAACTTGTTACATAGCCCAGATCAGGTGTAAATTTCAGAATCTCCTGCCTCAGCTTCCCAGAATACTAGAATTATAGGGGTGCATCACCACATCTGGATCAGAGTTTTTCTGTGCTACTCAAATTTAAACTCTAATTCTCCCTCTTATAGCATGGGTTTCTCTTAGTCAAGATCCTCATAATTTGTGTATTTGGCCAAGCTCTTGCAGAGTTCTGCCCAGCCTGGTATTAGTGAAATGCCTCTGTACTAACCACTAAAGGAAGTCTAGGATAACAGGGAATCCCAGCTCAGACTGACCTCAGTCTCCTCTCTTTCAAGAGTGTGTGTGTGTGTGTGTATTCAAACACACATATATGAGATAAGGCACTAGATAGCAAACGCTGGCAAGAAATAACTCATGGCTATTAATCCAGTGAGTCTCTGAACACTAGGCCATATGGCACAGGTCCCCCCTTTGTAAGATTCCTCTATTTTTCTACTTCTCAGAGGCAATTACACACAGCCATCCATCTGGGCTTTACGCTATTCCTGTCTCACTCTGTGGATAGGTTTCTTCCTTTCTCAGAACTCTGGTCTCCTTTCCTGACACTGTCTTTGAGACAAGGTAAGTGAAAATTGATTGTGGGAGAATAGGAAATTGTCCTGAAATTGTTTCAGGAAATCCAGGAAAGGATTTCCTGATGAAGTTTGAGTTTGAGTCTGATGGGTTCATTCAGCATGTCTCCATCTCTCCTTCCAATAGGACAGCCCTTTCCTGGTGGAGCAGAAATATCCTACATTACCTGGGAAGCTTCCAGGAGCCACGCCCAATGGAGAAGCTGCCAAATCTCCTACCGCCTCCCAACCTGACCCCTCAGGGAGCAGCCTGCTAAGGCTGAGTGAGTGTCTCGCCTCTGACAGTTTTAGTCCTGCATCACCACTGAGGCCCACAGTTGAGAAAAGTGGGGGTCAGGAGGGCCTGGAGTGAGTTGCACCCCATGGTAGTCCCACTTTGAAAGGTTGTACCCCACAGTACAGGCTGGGCAAGCTGTTTCCTAAGGTCAGCACTTCAGAGTCTCAGCAAAAGTACAGGCTATGTAAGCACCCTGTTTTGTCTAGCTGTAGTCACCCATTTTCTCTTACCTTCCATTTTTCTTCTCAATCCCAGTTTGTCCTTTCTCTCCATTCCTGTTTTCCCTCCTAGATATCCCTTCCTCCTCAACCATCCCTCATTCTTCCTCTGCCATCCGTCTGCCATCCAGTCTCCTCTCCTTTGTCTCCACCTGCTCTCGGTAGCCTTTTTGTTATCAGTAGGATGATGGTCTGGGCTCTTCTAAATAGGGCACTTCTTTAGGCAAATGGAGGCAGTGGCCAGGGGCAAGGATGTCAGTCCACTGGTATCCTTTTGGAGGGTGAGACTTGAAACCATGCAGTCTGTGCTGCATTTCAAGAAGATAAACTATCTTTCCTCAAAAGCAGCAATAGATTCAGCTGGACCAAGGAGGGAATGCTCTGCTCCTGGCCGCATTCTTACTACCCTTGACTCTCCTCTTCCTGCTGTTGTGTGAACCAGCCTGTGAGTCAGCTCACGGAGGCCGACTGCTCAGGGCAGCAGCTCAGTCAAGCCTTTTAATGTGCATCCAGTGGTCTCAGCCTGGATGCTTAGCAGCTTCAGGTCATTCTGCTCTGAGTGAGCCCTGGCATATCAGAGCTGTGCATGGTACCCTCTGTTCAGTCCCTGTATCCTGCTCTGCCTCTCCGTACATGTGGACATCTCATTCTCCCCGGAAGCAGCCCCAGGGATATTTGGACCCTTCAGTGAGGCTTTTTCTTAATTCTCTGATGCTGTGAGCATGGCTCAATTACCATTTTGCCTACCACTCTTCTTAGAGTTATTTTTCCTTTTTTTGAGTTTTTCTGTCTTGTTTAATAACACTCTTATTTATATCTTTGCTTCCCTGTAACTCTGTTGGGCTGGACTTTGGCCTCCCTTGTTTCTTCATATGGCTTCTCTGCTTCTTGGTTGGCTGGAGATCATGGTCGGAGTGTCAGTGCCCCTGTATTAGGTACTGTACCCATTCCAGGTGAGGTGGGGTGTGAGAATGCTTTTTCCCCTGTTCCCCAACCCTAACACCTCCCCCTCCCAAAGTCTTAGCCATGCTTCCCCACTTGTCTGAATTCCTGCATCTGCTTCTGAGGGAAGAGAGCAAACTCCTTATTAAATAATCCACAGACTCTTAGACTTTGAAGACATAAACTTACCCAGATTTGAAACATTAAGCTTACTAATTCCTTACCAAGAGAGCCTGGAATGTGCCTGAACCCCACTGGTTTCTAAGATTTTGGTGTGGCGCTCTGCCCCCAGGGTAGAGCTGGCAGGGTCTCCAGGACTGCCACAGAAGGATGGTCCCAAGAGGACGGTTCCACAGGGTACTATTACTCCCCTCATGCTTCATTTCATCCTTCCAACCTCAGGAGACACAGAAAGTGGTTGGGAAGATACAACCACAGCCAATGACATCTCATCCACCTCATCGGGTACTGAATCGAGCCCCCAGTCTCCGCTGACACCAGATGGTAAACGGAGCCCCAAAGGCATCAAGAAATTCTGGGGAAAGTAAGTTAGTGATCATAATCATATTGATTAGAGTTCATTTTCTTCTTGACATAGCAAAGAATTCTATGTAAGCCCCTGGTTCATCACAGATTGGGATAGATACAAAAACAAGGCAGTCATGTTTCAGAGAAGGATTTGAGTTGTTTTTCAGGGCCAAGAGAAGGTTGACACACATCCATTAAGTATAGCCAGTTGCCTTACATGTCACCCATTCTAGGCTTCTGTCCATCCTACAATTCTGTGCAGCTTATTTGGAAAAAATGGGTGAGACTGAATTCTGCCTTCTTAGAGGTTAGTCTGGATCTTGAGAAACCTTTGAAGACAGCTGAGTACTTGCTGGCCCAAATGATCCAGTTTGAAATAAGACAGCAACTAGAACCTCCTAGGAAGCATTGTCCTTCACTGTAACCCCCATGGGGAGTAGTCCAAACCCCAGAGGAAGCTTACAATTGAGACTGAAGACTGGTCAAGGAACAGTCACAGGTTGTGTTCCTTGACCCATGATCTTTGATCTCCAAAGCCTTGAGTCTCACCCTGTTTCGAAGTGGGTGGGGGCATTGACTCTGGGCTCTCAGGCTGCCCCTGATGATGTCCTTGGATTGCTCTCCACACAGAATCCGGAGAACCCAATCAGGAAATTTCAACACTGATGCACCAGGGATGGCCGAGTTTCGACGAGGTGGGCTCCGGGCAACTGCAGGGCCAAGACTGTCAAGAACCAGAGACTCCAAGGGTCAGAAATGGTAAGGCTCTTTGCAGTCTGTCTAAAAATTGCTGTGTGAGCTGTTTGCAGTCTCTCTGTTTGAATGTCTACTTTGTATTCTTTGATACTGTGATGTGAGCAACTATTTCCAAGATGATAATATGTAATCTATTAATAGGTGATTTCTTACTGTTATGTTTTTTTTTGTAGTTCTGTATTATGTGTAACCTTACACCACTTTGTTTTGTTTTGTGTTTTTCTCTTTTTCCTCTTAAATAAAATAAAAAAATAAAATAAAACAAAATAAAATAAAAATTGCTGTGTGAAATCCTGGCTGAGGTATAGTGAGGTAAGGACTGAGGGTCTCAGAATCTGCAGAGAAGGAATGCAGGAACCCTTAGGTTGGAGCTTCACAACTTGCCCTGTTGACACAGGTGAACAATACTCATGCTCATAGGTGCTTAGGTCAGAGAAAGCATGGGCTCCTGGATAGCTGGTGGAGGTAGCTGAGGTGTACATACATAGCCCATTCTCAGGAGTGCTCCATTAAACCTGTATCCCCAGCCTCAGTTGATTTTGCACATGGATGAGATACTCCCCTGCCTGGCCAGCCTTCCTCAGATTTCAAGGTTTTGCAAAATCTTCCTCATGTTTGAGACACAGGAGTTTTCCAGATCCATCTATGCTTTGATGGGTGTCCCCACAACTATTTTATCCTCCAGGGTCTTGAAAAGCAATGTGAAAATGTACAGACCTCCTGTGCATATTCCCCTAGGACCCGGAGAGGAGGGTGTTGATGCCTCTAGCCACAAATGTAAATTCTCAGTAAATGTCAGCAGCCTAGGGAATCTAAGGACATGGTCTGAGAAATAGAAGACCAGTTCAGGACCAATGGCAGCTTACGTATTATACTCCATAATTAGATATTCTAATTTACTTACCCAGTTTTCCTAATTCGAACATTACTGATGTTTCTGGTCTTTCTGAGATGAAAAAATAAAGTTACAGTAAACTTGAATGATTCATCGCAATTCCCATCATAGCAGTTTCTTTAATAAAAGCTGACACTAGAAGGGGAATCACTGGAGCAGGGTGTGTGAACTTTGCTAAGACGCTTTGACATTTTCCTTGAGCAGGACTGTACAGTGGGGAGCCCACTTATATTCTGCAGGTCACTTTTTAGGGTGTGGGCTACCTGAGGTCAGGAAGTTCTCTGCCAAAGGAAAACAACTGCATTTCCAGCACAGGGCTGCTTTGTTGGAATGTTTTTGTGTTTAACATTAAGTTGATAAAGGGAATAAGAATGAAGAGGTCTTGACGTGATGGCAGTGTTTATCTCAGCCATGCTTGTGGTAACAAAATGAATATGCTGGTGGAAAGGAAAGGCTGTCATTACCCTGAAGCAGGAATCTGGTATAATTATATGCTAATGCCCTCTAATGTTTATAGTTTATAGATATTTAAGGCAAAACCTTTTTTAAAAAATGTTGTCACTAATATGCTTGTAGGAAAAGTAATTTGTTACTAAAAGCCTCCAGCCCTAATCCCTTCTTTTCTGATCTGTTTTTTAAAAATATGGTATTTGACAGTAACATTTTGTAGAAATCTCTCTCAGATTATGGAAGAATGATTCTTATTACCTCCTCCCTCCTCTGGGTAAAATTTTATTGATTTACATACTAGTCAGCACTGCTATACAGAAGATTTATTCCCTATCCAGCCTTGCTAGCATTAAGTATTTAAAATTTTTGTACTTAGTTTTTGTTTTTTTGAGACAGGGTCTTGCTATGTTGTTCAAGCTGGCCTTGAGCTCAATTTGTAATCTAGGCTGGTCTCACACTTGAGACACAGGAATTTTGATCCTTCTGCCTCAGCCTCCCAAATCCTGGGATTATAGGCATGCACCATCACGACTGGCAAAGTTTTCACATTTGTGTAGACTTCTAAAACATATAATTGTATCTTTATTGCTAGTTTTCAAGATAATCATTCTAATTCTGTGTGCATTGTCTGTATTTTTTACCAACTTTATTCAATAATTAATGTCTTTCTTATAGTCTTCTGTCTGCTTTCAGTATATTAAGATTGTTAAACTATGTCTAATCATTGTGACGGCATTTTTAGGCTTATGGCAGAATTTTACTTTTGCTTGTCATACTTTAATATGTGGAATTTTTATATTTATATATAATCTTCATTAACTTTTCCCTTGTGGTTTCTTTCATTGTTTGTTTTTTAAATTTCTATGATTTTTAAACTATGTTTAAATTATCAGATTTTAATATATGAGGGATGTGTGTGTGTGTGTGTGTGTGTGTGTGTGTGTGTGTATGTGTGTGTTTCAAATAGAAGGAAATAAAATGTCTAGTTTAAGGCATACAGGTTCTAGAGCTCCACACTGGGTCTCATCTTTGTAGTGGGTTTTTCTGAATCGATCTGTTAAGTGTGTTGCCCTTTAGCTCTGCAGTTTTATGACAGGTGTCTAATCAGATCACTCGATTTTCTTGGCTTTCCCCCACATGAATGGGCAGAATCAGATTAATCACAGATGTAAGGAAGCTTCTAGGCCTTTACTTCCATGGGCCCCGTACAGTGTCTACAGAGGAGCTGCCGATCAATGTGTTGACAGTGTCAAGCATATGGAACATTGCTGTATGTAATTTAAACACAGCCAGTTTCTGTTACTCCAGTTTTCCCTAGGTCTATACTTTCCCTTACATCGAATGATTACGGAGGAGCCCTGAAGCTTTGGGGGAACTGCCTATGGGGTAGTTTGACTGAGGATCCAATTAGCCTAGGGGTAGCAGCACATGTGTACGTGACTTGCGGTCCCTTCACATTTCACTTAGTTAGGCTTAGTTACTTCTCCCTATCCGAGTGCACCAACGGCTTCCATAATTACTTTTACTTCTCATTTTGAACGTGCCCAGCATGCTGATACAGAGATGGCCAATCAGAGGTCTTGTCTCAGTATGAATACTTCCTCTGGCGCTACATCCAGAAGTGTGGTAGTAGGAAACAAAACCTACTACTCAAAACATTTGAGATATACGAAACCAGAAGCTAGCCTGTGCAATTTCTTTTCAGTCTTCAGATCTGTAAAATGCTAAACAGCGAATTTGGTTCAAAACAGAAACTCCTGTTAAGACTGTACTTGCAAAGAAAGGGTGTGCAGTTACAATGTACGCTGTACTCTCCTCTGCCTTGGGAATATCACATCTAATAGTCATGGGTGCAGCATTTTCACTGCAGTGTAGAAGCGTATTTTGGAATGTGTCAGTAAAACAAGTGGTTTGGCTGCCCGTGGAAGATATTTCTGTGTCAAAACCAAGCAGCTTCTTGAGGAGGTACTCAATCTGATGCTGTGGAATACAAGTCTGAGACGTGTGTGTGTGTGTGTGTGTGTGTGTGTGTGTGTGTGTATGTGTGTGTATGTGTGTGTGTGTGAGTGTGCATAAACCATCAATGAGCAGACTGCCAAGATGAGGACCAGAGTGGTTTGAAAGGTCAGAGGTTTTCAAATTATCTTCCTGAAAACACTTTATTTCCCCCTTTGGAATTGAAATGCTTTGCAGTTACATAAAAATATTATTAATGTCCTTCCAATTTCCAGAAATGAGAAAATGAACAAAATAAAAAACCTAATGAAAGCTGAGGAAATGGACATTAAGAAAAATTATTTTCATATTAAGAAACAAATTAGGAAGGAAAACAAAAATGCCAGATCACACCAAAAGCTATAAGAGCAAGAAATAAATTTCAAACAAAAATAGTGAGTAGGCTCCTAGGTTGTTATTCATATAACATAGATCATATGAGCACATTGCTAAAAGACCATGATTCCTTGCTGACTTTCCCTAATTTATCAACATCAACAAAGATAACATGAAACTCATGCTGCCACCACCAAAGATGTGAATAACACACTGGCTTATGGATATTCTCAATTCCAAAAATGTTTAATGTTAGCCACAACACTAGAAAACTTAATGCTATGTGGTTTTACCACTCATGTATAAAAGACACTGGGATAGAGATTTCCTTAAGCTTTAAGTAATGATTCCAAAACTATGCATGGCAATGCCAATTATAAATTGTGAAGCCACAACTTTTTAAAAAACTGTCCTAATTTTAAAAAAATATTGACATGTGTCCTATAAGACTGAATCAGTTGTGGACATATGAAGAAGTCAAGGAATATGCACTCAAAAGAGGAGGGTAAAAAAGAACTACAGAGGGTTTATATAGGGATTAATAAAATTTTTATTTTCTGGATTTTGTGATTTTTTTTTGTTTGGTTAAATATATAATTTTTGTTTGCCTTTTCATTCTACATGTTTACTAATTTTATGTTCAAATTTTATATTTTTTGTAGTACTGGGGATTGAACCCAAAGCCTTTGCATTTTTCTAATTTTTATTCTGAGACAAGTTTTTGTTAAGTCACTAAACTGTCCAGGCTGAACTTGAATTTGCAATCCTCTTGCCTCAGCTCCCCAGAGTGCTGGCCACACCTAGCCAAATTTTATGCTTTTCTGAGGAGGACATCCTAAATTTTATAAGTTCCAGACCTTATAAAACCTGAGTCTGCACCTATTTAAGATCCAGTAAAACACAGGTTGCAGACCAAAAGCGGTCAGCATCTATATCGGGGCATATGCCATCTCTGGCATTTATTTTAGGTGATGCTTCTTCCCATTTTGGTCTCTGAAGAATTCCCTCACTTTAGAAATAGCTCAGTCATTCAAAAATAATTTTTTTGTTGTTCCTCTATGTTAAGGGTATAGTCAGCCTCTGTAGCCAAGCTATTCCACATTTGCAGGTTTAGCCAAGGTTGAAAATAATACCGAAGTTTGTTCTTGTTGTTGTTTCCTAACATATATTTACATTGCATTTGTCTTGTGTTAGGTAGTACACACAATGTAGAGATGATGGTATGTGGGAGGATGTGTGTAGGCTAAAGGTAAATTCTATTCCATTTTGTATAACAGACTTAACCATCTTTGAGTTTCATAAGTGGAGGTCCTGGTAGCAGTCCCTCAAGAATGCTGCATTTTTTGGGAAAAGAATCTTTTGCAATACCTAGTCTTCTGTATTTCATAAATCACCATTTATTTTTAGATATGAATATAAAGTTGTCTTGTCCATCCCACAGATATTCCACTGGGGCTTTTAGAATGCCAGTATATTCATATTTTAAATGAAAAATTGATGTCTTTAAGAATGGAGTGCTCTTAATATCTAGTCTTCCTGTCTAAAAACATCATCTAAGTCATTTATTCATGTCTTTGCTTGTGGTGCTGAGTTGAGTTTTATAGCTACCACATCACCCACTCTGTCCCAGATTCCTATACACACAGGGCCTTGTTAAGGAAATTCCCTGGCAATTTGTAATTTTGGCTGCTTATAGGTGGAAAGCATTACTATCTATGCATGAATAGTACATTTGGATTTTACATGTTAGATGCATACTGCATATATATATATATTACCAGCCACCTTACTAAGCTTTCTTGGGTTTTCTAGGTGGCAGTCATATCATTTGAAAATAATTGTTTTTTTTCCCACCTTTGTGATTGCTATATTTCTTTATTTTTATCACTTCTTTTTCTGTACACAGGTCTCAGACTAGTGTTATTAATATGTAGTGATGAAAGTATATATTGTCTTTATATTGATTTTAATGTGAATGCCTCTAGTATTTTGTTAATAAATAGATATTGGCTGTGGTTGACTAGAATGCTTTTGGTTTGGATTGTTTTGTTTTGTTTTTTCATGTTAGAGAATTGACCATCTCTCCCTAATTTTTAAGTATTTTCCTAAAAAATGATGTTGAACCTTATGGACAAAATGATTTCACCGTGGATGTTCACCTCAATGGGCCATGCCCTCGGCTTGTGGCATGTAGCTGTGTGTGTGGCCATACGCTGAGTAGGCAGTTTCCTGGGATCTTGTAGGCTGCCCCAGGCTGTAAGGAGCTGGGCTGCAACCCAGACCATGCTGTCAAGGGGACTGTAGAGTCTACTTTACTTGAGTGGGTTGCTGAGAAATTTCATTCAGCTGTACCCCATGATCATCTAGGTTGTCAAAAGTTCCTTTTTGGGGAGGCTTTATTATCTGAAGTACCCCAGACTCTCCACTAACAGGAATACACTGTTTCCTTGCTTCCCAGTGATGCCAATGCCCCCTTTGCCCAGTGGAACACTGAGCGTGTCTGTGCATGGCTCGAGGACTTCGGCCTGGCTCAGTACGTGATCTTTGCCAGGCAGTGGGTGACATCTGGCCACACATTACTGACAGCTACACCTCAAGACATGGAAAAGGTGAGGGCTAGGCATGCAACAAAGAGCCTCTCCCTAGACCAGTGCCTGGGACCAGCGTGTGGGGTGGTGAAACAGCCGCCAGCTCAATGCAGAATGGAAGGGAAGGCTGATATTCCCTCCGTAGCTGCAGGTTGGCAACCCAAGGGATCCACTTCCACCCTCTAAGAGAATCTCCACCCTGACATGAATCCTCTGAGGATCAAATTGCCTGCCAAAATTTCACATCTGGTCTTCATCTTTTAATTTCAGGAGTTAGGAATTAAGCACCCTCTCCATAGGAAGAAGCTGGTTTTAGCAGTAAAAGCCATCAACACCAAGCAGGAGGAGAAGTCTGCATTGCTAGACCATATTTGGGTGACAAGTAAGGACAGACATATGCAGATTAAGTATGTTTCTAGCAGTTTCTAAAGGTGGAAAGAATTTGCCTATCGAATGCATGCCTCAAAGATAGACGTCTACTTATAAAAGGCAGATGGATTGTTAAACCTTTTGGGGAGTAAAACTGGAACCCAAAATCTAATTTTCTGGAGTTTTTTCTTGGCATCCATATTCTCCTGTTCTCATGAACCCTAGCATATCTATCCTTTTTGTATTTGTAGGGTGGCTTGATGACATTGGCTTACCCCAATACAAGGACCAATTTCATGAAGCCAGAGTTGATGGACGGATGCTTCAATACCTAACTGTGGTGAGGATTTTCCCTTTAAATATTTAAAGCTTAGATGTGCCTGTAGTGTTATTTAAAACTTGACTCCACCTCTTCCCTCAGATACTTTTTTTTTTTTGTCTTTTGAGATAGGGTCTCGCTATGCAGTTCAGGCTGGCCTTGAGCTCACTGTGTAGCTCAGGCTGGTCTCCAACTCACAATGATGTTCTTGAGTACTAGAATTACAGGCACATGCCACCATGCCTGGGTCTCCCTCAGATTCTTAAAGCCTTAAAATATATGAGTTGTCACATAAGAGGTGTCCCAAATAGTGTAGTCTAAACTATTGTGAAAAGAGAATCTGTTGGTGTGTCTGTGTGCAGCTTTCTGACATATGAAAGATTTGTCTGTTTGTTTGGGGCAAAACCTCTGCAGGCTTTTGTCACTTTGGAAGCTCCAGTTTAATCAGCCAAAACATTTCTCTTCCAGAATGATCTACTCTTTTTAAAAGTCACCAGCCAACTACATCATCTCAGCATCAAATGTGCCATTCATGTGCTGCATGTCAACAAATTCAATCCTCACTGCCTGCATCGGCGGCCAGCTGACGAGGTAAGTTAGGACAGGAGAGCAGCCGTGCAGGTGTCCGGCCCCAAGCCAGGACCCCCGGAGTGTTGCTTATGGGAAAGTAAGAATGACAACATTGCACAATAGCTGCATTTCACATTACGGTGCTTGGGATTCTGGTACCCCAAACATCTTTGTTGCCTGTGGCACATGGTAACCATTAAACTTCTAATCTCCCACCTTCCTGCAGGGAGGTAAATATTATGGGCTAGCGGGCAGTGGAAATAAAGTCATCTTAGGAGATGAGGAGGCAGTACAAGGGAGAGGGGACAGGAAAGACAAAATAGAAAGATGGTGTCAGAGCAAGCAGAGAAGAGCCAGGGAGGAACAAGGAGCCTGTAGGGAGCCAGACATTTCAGAACAGGTTTCCCTGCTTGGAGATGCAAAATTAACAAACTTCCCCTGGGTATTCAGGGTTCATGAGCAAGTATTGCTAGAGAAGAAATAATGCAAGCCAACACAGCAACCCAAGTCCTGGGAAAGTTCCTGATAATGTTTCGTGGACCTCAGGGTTCTTGTTGGGTCCTGAACTGAAGAGCTGTCAGTCACATCCCACCTCCTCTGTCCAACTCCACTTCCAGATGGGTTGAGTAATTCTCACCTCTGTCCCCGTCTTCCAGTCTCTTGCTATTCAACACACATACTTTGCAAACTTTCCTTGTGTCCGGCACAAAAGTGAGTATTTTGAAGACCACGATGCTGTTGAAAACATTTACACTTAAATATCTCCATTTGTGCTCCATAAAATATTCAAGAGGACTTTTTTTCTATAAACACTTGGCTCATCACTCAGAAATTCTGTTGACTCCCTGAATAAAAACCTGTGTGCCTTCGTTTATTTGCCTCCAAATTAGGCTGAGAATTAGAGTAATAAGATTATGGATTCAGATATCCCTGTGTCAAAGACCCTGCAAGACTCAGTGAGAGTTCTGTCTCTTGGGACTGGGAAGGCTCTCAGACAGGTGGGCTAGATGGCTTAGCTCATCTGCATAAGGATCTTCTCTTGTGGTGAGGAATGTGGGTAGGATTAGTTGCAGGGGTTGACGTCAATGAAGTCTAACTTTCTCACTCTCCTCTCTCTCACAGAGTAACCTTTCTCCTTCAGAAGTTGTGCAGTGGTCCAACCACAGAGTGATGGAATGGTTGCGATCTGTGGACCTGGCAGAATACGCACCCAACCTTAGAGGGAGCGGTGTTCATGGTGGTCTTATTGTAAGTGATTTTCTAGACTAGGCCACCTGTCTAGGTACACACTGGGGTGTGCAGAAATGAATTTCCTAAAGAAAGCTAGTGAAAAAATAAGATACTTCACCTGAACTTCTTACATAATTTGAAGCCTCAGAGAAAGAGTTTGTGGATGAGAATTAATATACTTCATGAAAACAAGATGGCCTCTGAAAGGATTTCCTCAGCTTCAGACCCAGAAGAGTCCAGTGCAGTGGGGTTGCATGAGGGTCAGTCCTGAACAAAGCAGCTCCACCTGTTCCTAGAGGAACAGGAAGACTGGGGAAGTGAGGGGGAGGGCATCAAATATAGCTTCCTGCTTGCCATGACATGACCCTTATCACCACTCTGGCCAGCCAGATGGCAAAGCCAGAGGGGAAATGTGGAGGCCGTAGCTTTGATGTCATCTAGTCTTACCAAAGAGGTCCTGCTTCTCTGCTGGTCTGTGAAGATGAGGTGGCAGTCAACAAATGTGCTAATGTCTCCTCAGAGCCAGGCCTCACCTCCGGCCTGGGAGAAAGAGGGGAGTGGGATACAGAACAAGTGGTGGAGCTTCCGCCCTTGCTCTGAAGCCACTCGGGCCCACATTCACTTCTCGTTGTCACCCACCTGTGGTCACCAGTGGCTCTGTGGTTTCTTCTTAGATCCTGGAGCCACGCTTCACTGGGGACACCCTGGCTATGCTTCTCAATATCCCACCCCAGAAGACACTTCTCCGGCGCCACCTGACCACCAAATTCAATGCTCTGATTGGTCCTGAGGCTGAACAGGAAAAGCGAGATAAAATGGCCTCCCCAGCTTACACTCCATTGACCACCACGGCCAAAGTGCGGGTGAGTTTTCAGTCCCTTTCTGTGGGGTCCAGAGGTGCTGCCTCCTGGCCCTTGTGTTACACAGTGGCCGCTTCAGTGCTTGGAGCCAAACTAACTTCAGTCAGCTTCCACATGGGAGTTTGGTCCTGTGGTTATTCATCTTTGTTAGGCTATTTCCTACTTTATCTCAAGTCAAGGAGGAGAGTACAGATTTGTGTACCCAGAAACCATGTGCAGGAAAGTATCTATTCTTGGACAGCTGGGAGTTTGTCCTCTACCCCATGCCGTCATTATTCATCTTGCAAAATAGGTAAGTTCTGGGTCTGGGCTCCTTTTGGTTAGGTCCATCTGCATACTACAGCAACACAGGGCTTAGTTGGAGCTGTCCTGCTGGCACAGAGTGTATACCACTTGGCAGGGGTACCTGCTTGCCTTGTTTGGTGTGAGTTGGCCAGCATGCAACTATCCAGAGGTCTTGAGGTCATCCATGTGCCAGCATCATTCCAAAGGCTCCCTGAATCCCATAAAGATCTGCCTGAGCAACACTGTCCTCAGACGACCCCATCCCCAGTGAGCCAGTCTGGAGCCTCCATTCCAGCTACAACTCACACATCCACCCCCTTCTCTGAGGAAGCAGGACAGAAAGTGCATTTGGGAGCATGTAGGAGAAACGGTGCAGGCAAGGAGGAAGACCAGCCCAGGACTGTCCAGTGTGGTTCTGGGGCGCTGGGTGGTGCCTCCCCCGGTGGTGGTAGCAGCTGGGATGGGGCAGATCCTCTGTGCTCGGCCTTGGGTGCAGTGTGCAGCCTGTGGCACGCATTAGGATTGCCTGACCATCTGGGAAACTAAGAGAGCTGCTGGCAGAACAGAGGGAGCAAGTTTCAGGCAGTCTCAGAAGCAGCTCTTCTAGTTCAAAATTACTCACCAGCTGGCCTTTCCTCAGCACAGAAACGCCTCCAAGAGCTGTTTGGCTCAGTTTTCCAGTAGTTTGCCTTATTCCTTTCTTCCTAGATCTGCTCTTAAATATATTGTCAATCATATATGTATACTGGCTTGTTCCTCACCTTCTCATAATCTTGTGTTTTCTGTGTTTTAGCCAAGGAAACTAGGATTTTCACATTTTGGAAACATGAGAAAAAAGAAATTTGACGAATCGACAGACTACATTTGCCCGATGGAACCCAGTGATGCCGTTGGTGACAGTCAGAGGGGCTACAGTGGCTACCGTAGCCTCAGCCCCCCTGATTCCCCTGAACTGGATGGGCTGGACCAGGTGGGACAGATTAGCTGATGCCCTTGTCACCTGGCTTCTCTGTGTTCCTGAGTGCTCACAGTAACACCTTGTGTGTCACCATGTAACCGCACCTCATCCCCGCACCCGTGCATGGCTCACGGAGAGCAGTGCAGCAGTGCTGTGCCTCTCTTCACACCCTGCTGGTGGCCAGGACCTGGAGTTGGACCTCTGCAAAGGGGCCAGGCCTTGGGGACTTTTGTCAAAGGTGAACCCAGGAGGAAAGTCCCTTACAGATCCTTTTACAGTTTTTAGTAATTCATGTCCACCTCCAGCTCATGAACTTGCACACAGGTCCAGAGACTCTGGACAAACCCTAGACACTCAGCTGTCAGGTACCACCCTGGGCTCCAGCGGAGGAAAAAGTTCAAGTGCCTTAGGCCTGTGGGCCACAGTGTCTCGGCTGAGAAGAGAGATAAGCAGCAGGGATTTCTGCCGTGGTGATACTGCCATTGGGGTGTGCCTTGCTACAGAGATGGTCCCTTCTTTCTGGTAATAAAAGAATATTTATGTAGAAAGCAAACAGTGTAAATAATATCCTTAATCTTGTTGGGGGAAGAGTGCTGGGCACAGCTGGAGATGCAGCCTGCTGACTGCGGTTCAGGTGCTTACGGCAGCAAGCCCAGTCCTTGGCCACATGCACGCTTGGAATTCACCAAAGGGGATGGGTGAGGAGGGACCTTATCCCCTCCTCATGTCCTTAGCAGGAGGCCTGTGGCCTTGCTGCCTCGCCCTGCCTCTCACTAGGAAGCAGAAGGAATCTTGGGTCTCACACACATCCTGACTGTAGGCCACATCAGTCATGCAGACCCCAGAGCTGGTTTCCATTTCAGCAGCAGGAGCCCCTCAAGGAAGTGGGGCATAGGGGAGTGGTGCTGGCAAGACTCTGTTCCTTCACATGCTTTGCCAGCTTCTGGTAACTGTTATGGGGCTGGGCCTTCCGTGTTGGCAGGGCTAGCACGGATCTGGCTTCTTAAAAAAATTTTTTTTTAAAGATCTGGCCTCTTGATTCAGAGGCTAAGAAGCTGATAATGGGCCTTCCATATGGGCTTTGTCTGGCTGGAGACTGAGAGAGAAGCTCCGTGCCAGTCATTTCAGGTCACCTCAGGGCAGCTTTTGGCACTCTAGGGTCCCTTGGGCCTCATCTACAGAAGAATAGCAGCAGTGTCCTAACCATCTGATGGCAGGGCAAGGCCAGAGACCTCGCTGGGGTCCCTCTGATTCTGTCCCAGATAGAGGCAATGCTGAGATTCGCTTGACTATCAGCAGCTTGAGGCATGGCCTACTCCCTCCTCCACTTCCCCTGAAGTCCAGCTGCTGAGAGTCATGGGCACAAGCTCTCTAGCCAGCAGCATGTTCTGGGACCCAGAGCCACAGCACACAGGTACTCCTCAAGGCTGATACCTGACTGTTGCAGGGCCAGGCTTTATCTGTTACTTCTTATCATGTCCTGGTGAGAGACTGCATGTGCCTGTTTTCCAGCCCTGCATGAAATTATTTTGCCACTAATTTTCCAGGCGTCCTCAGGCAAGTCTCAATCCTTTTTACGGGCCTCAATTTTCCACCCACCCGTACAACAAAGAGTTACATTGGACACCTTCCAAGTCCACAGCATCTAAATACTGAAGAAAGAAGCGGCAGGCCAGGGTTACCTGTGGAAGAGGGCAGGGAAGGGGCCTTGAGTATCAAGGAGGCCTTGGCTCTGTCAGCATCTTCCCCAGGACACTCACTGTCCTGGAGCATCAGTGTCTGGGGCTTGGTGCCTGCAAATTCTGATTCAGTCCAGCATCCTGAAAGCCTTCATGCCTGCTGCCCTTTGCTCCTGGAAAACTGCTGCAACACTAAACATGGGGCAGCTTCTGAATGGCTCTTCCTCTGCCCTGCTTCTTGTATTCTGAATGTCGATGCCCAGAGCAGGACCTCAGGAGACCATGTGCATGCAGTGTGGCACACTGGACACCGTTCCTCAGGTCCCTGAGTAGCATGTGCCCCAACACCTGTCACTCCTCAGGCCTGGCACATTCCCTCCCCGTCCCTCCGGGGAAGCACACTCTGGAGGAGCCAGGCCTGAGCAGGGTAGGGTTTGCATGCCATTGTGCAAGCTGTACCCGTATGTGCTGACGAGGCTGCTGCCCATTTTACAGATGGCACCTTCGGAAGGCACTGTGACACAGATAGGGCTCCTCTCACAAGATATTCACCGTCTTACGGTAGGACTCTGACTCTCTCCTTACAGTGGGGCTGCTACCAGGGAGTCCCAGAAAGCGTGGTGGGCTGGTGTTCAAGGCAGGAGAAAGTAAAGGAAGGTGCTGGGTGCTGGCCTCAGAGCCTGAGTCCAACCTAGAGGCAGAAAGCAGCCCTAGGACCTTCTTCACTGGCCTGTTGCTGGGTCACAGACCTTAAGTCAGAACCTGCTAGAGCATATTAATTCGCAGGTTCTTTTTCCAGTCTGAGCTGGTGAGGAGATCAAGAACCTCTAGATGGACCGAAGCCCTATCTGTCTCTGTCCTGTCCTCTCTACCTATGAGACTCAAGCATTTCCCATACTATGCCTCTGACATCCCAGATATGACAGGCAATCTGGCCATATCCTGGGACAATCTGGACCACAGGAGGTAGCTTGGTCTCAGGAGAAGAGAGGAGCAGCTTTGGAAAGTGGCAGACCTGGGTCAGGTTTCTGCTCTGCCCTTTACCGGCTCAGGCACCTTAGGTGTGTCATTCCCTCTCTGAGCCTTGGCTTTGTTATCTGTAGAACAGGATGAATAAAATCGCCCCTGCAAGGCCCATAGAGCCAGCAGTAAAAGGCCAGGCACAGAACATTTCATACATCCCAGGGCCCTTTAGTTCCATCCTGAATCTAGTGGCTGTGGCATCTGTTGGCGCTGAGGCCCCTCACTGTACTCTGCTTCAGGATTTTTCAAGGCATGTTTAGAAGACTCACGTTCAGAGTTCGCCTGTGTCTAAGCAGATTCACTTTAATGCAACTTTGCTTTTTTTGGCCTACACACTGAAAGGTCTCTGCTCGGCCTTGAACCTATGAATGATCTAAGAGGCCTTTGGTGGCTTTTTCAAAGAGCAAGATTGCCTCTACAGTGAGCAGTTTATTTTTATCTTAGCAGTGCTATTTATTCCGACCCAATGCTTAGGGTCTGTGGGACACCGTGAACCCACAGGGCACCAGTGTCAGACATGAACCACGTCCAGTGCCCCTTGCTTCCTCTGCTGTAGCTGTGGCAGCAGCCTGAACCCAAACTCTGTTAAACCGCCCCTTTGGCTGTGTCCTTTCAGACCTTGCTGAGCCAGGACCAGCTGCTGAGTGACTCTTGCCTGACTGCCCCCAACTCTGATGACTGGAGATGACATTCTTTGTGGCTGAGAGCCCGGAGAGGCACGTGTGGAGCCCCATCTTTGCCTCGGAGGGGACCTGGCACACAGCCATTGCGGAGCCCAGACTGCAGATGGGGCTGGCGGGGCATCTCGGACCTGGGTGCTGACTGCAGCAGAGCAGAGCAGTGGCACAGGTTGTCAGAAGGTGGCCTCGGGGTCCCAAGGAGCTTTTAGTCATGCTGTGCTCTTCACTGCAGCTTTTTTACTTTTATACAAGGACTACAAACCTCTTTTGTGGGGGGAACAACAAGATACCAGCACCATGCTCCATGGCTCATGCTGTTCCTGATGACAGCCAGGAGGCTGTTTGTGTGTACACGAAAGGGGAGGCGCTGTGAGTCCATAAAACCGCTGCTGGAGGAAGCATATTCTGGAACTATGTTCTGAGTGATCTGTGATGAGTTGGGTGAAATGGTAACTGGGAGTCTCAGAGACGTCTCCACAGGAACACGTATTCAAGGCTTGATAATGTAGGGTCCTCCAGTCTCCCAAAAGAGGTACAGCTTTTCCCTCTGCAGCCTCATGGGTAATGTCTGATCACGCAGCGCCCCCTAGTGGAAGTCTCTTGGGCAACAACGTTGCTCCCGCAACTGGCCATTTTTCCAATCAAGCCTGCCGCTCCCTTTCTGCTGTCTCCCTCCTGGGAGGAGGGAGGAGCACCATCGAATCCCCAGGGTGCCCCTTTCCTCCCACTGCATGGCCACTGTAGTTCGAGTCATCTGATTACTGAAGCTGATCTCTTATGTGGTCCTTCGCCTTTTCAACTGGTCCCCACCATTCCCCTCCGTTCCCGAGGCGACCTTCCCAAAGCACTTTTAATCCTGTCACGCCTGGCACCGTCCTGCTCAGAACTCAATTCCAGAATTTCCACAGGTGACCACCCAGGCCCTTCAGTGTCCTCTGCCTTCTTTGAGCCCACCATTTGGCCTTGGCTCTGTGACATTCCCTTTTCTCCCAGTCACCTTCGTGAGGCCAAATCCTGCCCGTCAAGGCCCAGCACAAACTCTCCCTCTCCTGCATCCCTCAGGAAGCCTTCACTTCTTTTCTAATTGGAGTTCAACTCTGCCTCAATGTGCCGTTCTCCCTCGTCTCAAAGCTGTACAACCAGCCTTGCAATTCTGTGTTGTCCTATCATAACCCTCCCTCAGCACAAACCCCCTGGGCACAAACCCCCTGGGCACCTGCTATAGACCGCTGTTTTTACAAAGAGAAGCCCAAACTGGCCCTCAAACTGCTTCTTGATCAAGGTCCTGCTGGCCAGTATCGTTGACCTCTACTCTGCAGATGCGAGTAGCACCTGACCTCCAGTTGTGATAACTGAAATAACCCCAGACTTTGTCAAATATTCCAAGGGGCAAATTTGCCCCTTTTGAGAACCACTGGGGCAGAGACTGAGGTCACAGTGGGAGGCTTGGGGAAGGAAAAATCTGATGTGGTCAGGTGTACAATCAATAAAAACCTTACAAGAAAGGCCCCTGGAATATGTCCCAGAGGTAGGAAGTGGCTGGGATGGGGATTAGAACAAAAGCAGAGAAGGATTGAAAGCAGTTGAAATGCAAGGCCAGATCTGCATTTTGTAAAGTATCTAAGGGTAGGATCTTGCTTATTGTGACATACCCAGCAGAACAAGGAATTCCTTGAGGACGTGCTAAACAAGTGGGTACATGCACGCTGGCCATGCCATCCCTCCCCGCCCCACTCCACAGACCCTTGAGACCTGTGGGCCAAACTCCAAGATACAGCTGTGCTGCAGAGCTCCCTAGAATCACATGCCTCTCTCCTCAGCCTCTTCTGTTCCCTTCTACCCTCCTTCATGCCCACACAGACATGCATGCGTGCAAACATGCTCATGCATGTAACAAATCAGTGGCACCAACTTCCAACACTGCTGCTGTTATGTCAGTTTTTGTGAAAAGGAAAATGAATAATTTGGAATTTAAAATCAGCTCTGCCACACAGTGGCTGAATGACTTCAGAGCACTTAGTCTCTGAGTTTGTCTCCTCACACATGTCCATTATGTGAAGGGCAAAATCCTAACAGGATCTCTGTTCTTTTCTGAGAATTATATGAAATTCTGCAGAAATGGTCATGACCACTCAGGTAACAGCAGCAATGTGTTGTCCTGGCTCTGAAGATGGCTACAGTGGTTCCTTGTATGCTTAGTTTAGTGATAGGATTTAGGCAGAGCTTCTAGGAGCTGTAGGTTGAGAAGTTTCTGAATATAACCACTCCTGATCAGCCTAATGCCAGGGTGCAGCCAGGAGGATGCTGGGGAAAAAAGCAGGCTGCACTCTCATCTGCCATGCACAACTCAGGAGGAGGCTGGAAGGAGTCCCTGGGCCACCTACCCATTCTTGTTTCAAGGGGTCCCACAAGGAAAGGAAGGAATGAAGGAAGGAAGGAAGGAAAGAAGGAAGGAAGGAAGGAAGGAAGGAAGGAAGGAAGGAAGGAAGGAAGGAAGGAAGGAAGGAAGGAAGACCTCACATGGAGGGTGCCTGAGGACTCTTGTAGGTTTGGCCTTAAAAGCAGTGCTCTCTTAAGAGCCAGGGGTTTAGCTCAGTGGCACAAATGCCTACTTGGCAAGTGCAAGGTTTGATCCCTGGTACCAAAAGAAACAACAAAAAACACAGAGGTCTGAGGAGAGGGGTTCTAGAGAGGTCAGTGGCACTGATGCAACCCCACTTGTGTTCTACTCCGGCACCGTTGCCAGAGTTGCCCACTCTGACCCCTGCCATTACGCAGAAGCCAACTAAGTACCACAGACGTGGCCTCCTGACCTTCCGCAGGGCCCCACAGAGTCACATGTCCTGAGAACTTAAGTTTATTTCACCAGACTATAGAGAAAGGTATGATAATGGAGCTCTTTCCACTATTCAAGCCAAGGAGCCTCAGAAGCTGTTTTTTTCTAGTGCCTTGATCCCTTCTGGAGCCCACACCCAAAACAGAGATGCCCTGGTAGGCATGCACAAGGAGGCACAAGGAGGCACTTTTGCAAACATCCCAGTTTAACCTGGTGAAATCAAATCACTCTGAAACAGGAGGGGGACCTGGGACACTTGTGAAGAACACAGGTGTTAGTAAGTGAAAATCATGTCCTTCGTATAACCCAGCTTCTCCAGGCTGGGGTGCGCAGCTGTGTGGATCAGGGGTGGGGGGCCACACACCAGGATGAGTGTGCCCTTCCCAGGGGGAGGGAGGTGCTCCCTTATCATGTTGGCAGTAACAAAGCCAGAGCTGTAGTTCCACTCTGAAATGAAGCAAAACAGGCAGTAACTGTGAGGTTCTGGGTTAAGTCCTTAAGGCAAGGAACAGAGGGCAGGCTACACTACATAGGTTTAGAAGTCTGTACGACTCTTCCCTGCAAAACCCTGGGTAGAGGGTGCCAGGTTCTCAGACAGTCCTCTAGCAGTTTTTACCCAGATTTCAGGCTTACAGCTGAGATTCAGGGACCTGTGCTGGTGTTTGTGGGCTCAAAGCATAGAGGAGGAACTCCAGATGAGCTGTACACTGGTGTAGTGTGAATCAGGGCAATGAACCGGGGTGGCATTTGTGGAGTTGCGCACCCTCTGCTGGTCCACATAGTGTATGATGAGACAGGTAGCTGGGGCTCAGTGCATGAGGACAGCTGTCCGGAAAAGGTGATTGCTGATGGTTGTTTTGGCGATAAGCACTGATGTGACAGGTGAAGGAACCAGTGACCACATGAGATGTAGTATGTGATGCTTGTAGGGGTGCAGGTGTTCAGGCAGCCCCGTAGCTCAGTATCTCTCGATGTGGAGTGTTGGTGAGACATCAGACACAGACCCCTGATCACTCTCCTTATAAGCAGATCACCCAAATCCTCCCCCGAATTCGAGCATTTTCCATATGGACCCAGAACCCCAGGCCAAAACCCTTTTTAAAAAAAAAAAAAAGGCCAAGTAAACAGAGACCAGTCTTCGGAGAAGGGCAGGGTTGCTGCTGACCCACAGAGAGTGAAGGCAAAGGGCTCATACCGACGGGAGGCCTGTCCAGAGTGTACCATACACTGAACTGGTCTAGGTGAGTACTGGCAAGTTCTTCAAGCTCCTTTCTCATCAAGATATCCTCTTCTGTCTAGAAAAGGAACATTAGAAAAGCCCCATCTGCAGACAGCATGCATATCCCCCAACCCTGAGCACACGTCAGCGCACCCCTGGCCAAGTTTACCACCCCAGCCAGAGTCCCACTGCAGATTCCTAGGGCAAATGAGGGTTCCACGCAGCTCCCGCAGACCAACGCCTCTATTTCTCTTGTAGTGAGAAGCTGGGAGGGTGAGGATTCCCACAGAGGGAAGCGACTGCCCTCCAGCTGGACAGACTGGGCACGCAGGCCAGGGGCTCCACATGGACATCCCTGCCCCACCTCCTGCACCCACACTCACACCCAGCTGGAGAAGCTCAGTGCAGATAGGGTCTGATTCAGCTGGGAAAGAGGGAGCTAGAGTCACAGAAAAAACAGCACTGCGGGGCTAGGACGGGAGCCTGGCCTGGGGTAAGGGAGCAAAGGCCAGTGTCTCAGGCTCAGAGAGAGCACACAGAAAGCTTGGCATGACACTTGCCTCAATAATTCTAGGTCAGGGGTTCTGTTTTAAAAGATAATCTAAAAGTAGGCAGGCCTTGACACAATTATTCATCATCATATCATTTATAACTAAAAAATGAAAACCTGAATGTGGGACATTTAGAAAACTACAGCACAACTTGACATAGCCTGTGATGAGCCTAAAGTGTGTTAATAAGAAAATCTTGTGTGGTGATGCTAATATATATATATATATATATATATATATATATATATATATATTGTTTAGTATTTCACAACATTTCCATGAGGGCATCTTTGATTAGATTTTTATACTCAAAAAAAGAAAAAGGACACAGAGAGATTAAGGATGGAGGAAAAGAAAGCTTAGAGCTCAGGGCTGACCAGGGAGACAGAAGAGTTAAACCCAAGCTGGCAAGAACAGAGGCCTGGGCTCAGCTTCTGGCTGGTGAACCCAGCAGGCCCTCCCACACCCAAACAGCGCGTGCTCAGCGAGTGGGGGCGGCAGGATGAATGCAGAACCCAGCTCAGCAAACTTTCTGTCCCACCACTGCAAGCTTGGAGCTGACTCGGCAGAACTGACCTGGTTGGCAAACAGCAGGGACATTCGGGTCTTGTCACTGGGGTTCTTCGTAATATGGCGAATGAGCTGCAGCATGGGTGTGATGCCTGGAACACAGTGAGTGGACAGGCCAGCCTTCTCCCATCTCTGATGTGATAGTCCCTGACCTGCAGCAGTTTCACAGCTGTCCCTGGCCCTCATTATACCTTCTTTAGTTTTGTCCTCCAAACTCAAGGTGGGAAACAGTCCTTCATTTTGGGATTGCTTTCCAATGCAATAGTAAGTCAAAAACCCTGTTTCATTTTCTCATGATGGGAAGAGAATTCTTAGAGCTTCAGTGTCCTCATTTGCAAAAAGTTCTAGCTGTGAGTAAATGTGATGGGTTTTTAAGTGCCTGTGACAGTGCCTGGCATCCTGTGCACATCTACTAAAGTTTTCTCTCTGGTCAGGTGTCATTCTCTGGGGATGGAAAGAGTGGGTGTGGACTGGACTCAGGCATGTGAAGGAGACCACACATGGCCTGCCCAGCCTAACTCCTAGGCAGCCACACCCTATTGGCTAAGGGGAGCAGGAAACGGTCAGGTTCAAGATATGTACTTAGGCTGTACAGCTAAGGAAGGATTAACTCTTGCCACCCCTTCAAGGGTCAAGCAACCATAAAATCAAAGAAGTCTTGCAGGTCACTGTCTGGATGAAGCCCTCAGGAACTTCTTACCTGTGCCACCAGCAATCATTCCCAAGTGACGGACTAGTTTTTTTTCAGGCTGGCTCATTTTGTATGGTTTGATTGCAAGTCTCCCTAGAAGCACAGAAGATGTTTCTAACTTCTGCAGCTCTGTTTGTCTGGGAGCTTGCAAAAGATTACTGACATTCCTCAAGACTCCTAGGAAGCAGGTGTGCCTACAAGATGACCGTGCTGTTCTAAGGCAGGGAAGAGGCCACGGGGGCTTCCTCCATCAGCCCCTGTACACTGGCGTCAGAAGATGGACTAGAGCCGGGGCCTCTTCAAATAATCACCAGGCCTTCTTTTTTGAGGACAGAGGCAAGGTGAAGCTCAGAGAGCCTCCTAGAACACTCTCAATCACAGCAGTGAGTGAGTAAAGGATGAATATGTGACTGAGCTCATCAGATGGCTCCAGCCATCCCCAGCTCTTCAGGACTGGCAAGCACTGTGCTGGAGACACAGTGATGAGGTCATACCAAGCGAAGCTCAGGATCTTCTGGAGTGGGTGTGCGGATGAATAGTGGATGCAGTTACATATTCATCCAGGTGAATGAATGTATGAGGACTTAAAGTACAAGCCCTGTGGGGTCTGATCAGTGTTCTAGGACAATAAAGCCACTGCAGGAACCTTCCTCCTCCCAACTGCAGACCCAGTGTAATCCCAACAGTACCTGGCCCTTGGTAGAACAGTTGCCCAGTCGGCCCTCGAAAAAGGATGGTGTCTCCAATCTTCATGTTCTCCAAGTACTGAGTCATCTTCCCCCCTTCAGGATATTTAGGGTGCACATTTTTGAAGTAGATCTGAAAGATAAGGCAGAGTAGTTTTCACACACCCTGACTTAAGAGCATGGCTGTGCACAGCTACCAAATGCATTGCCATTCTGTGCCATGCAGGGAAAGCACTCTGGCTTCGTAAGTAGTCCTCTAAGACATCCCAAGATTAACTCTGCCTCAGTTGTTAAATGACATCATTGGAAAGCCCCATCTGGGTCCCAAGTCCCCTCACAGCAAAACCACAGCCTTCCACCCCACCACCCTCAATAAGCTCAGGAGCAAGACAGTTGGACACAGTGGGCATTGTTTACCTTTATAATCAAGTCCACAAAGCCTCGGTCATCATCACTGGAGACAGGTGTGTAAGCTCTGATCACCAAGTCACCATTAATTCTGGCCAAGAGGTGGACATAGTTCCCTATGGAAAGGGTATCAAATGTTAAGTCTGAACATGACCTGCTAAGCACGACTCAGAGTACTCAGTTTCAGTGAGGGGGGCAAATTCCAGCAAGATGTAACAGAGTGGAAGCAGGGAAGGAGTCCTAACACAGGATGTTTGGGTCCTAGGCCTGTCCTTGATGCTCCATGTGCTACCCGGAGCAGCCCACTTCACCTCTCTGGGTTTTAGTCTGTTCATCTGTAAAATGGGGATGATAGGCTGGCAGTGTAGCTCGGTGACAGAGGGACCCAGGTTTGTCCCCCAGCACACTATGAAGGACAGAAAGAGAAGGAGAGAGAAAGAGAGAGAGAGAATTATATGTCTGCATAACTATAGTCATATTGTTAAGTAATTTGCAGAGCAAAAAGAGCTAATTAAAGTTGGAAGGCACCTATTAAAAATGGCAAAGGGGAGTATTTCACTTTTGAAGAAAGATATATTGCCTTTACAAACTCATTTTTTCCTAAACTGGGACCTGTAAATAAGTCACGGCCACTGTGTGCGCACTGGTGCCTGGCACAAAGCAGAACTAGGCATATAGAGGCTGTGGGGCCCCAGGATCCAAACACCCATGGCTCAGATAAAGAAGCAGCAATGTGTCTTCCTGGTATACAGCTTTGCTGAGGGGCAATAGTGAAGTCTGAACCGTGTAATTCTGCCCCTCCAGTGCAGAATTCAGCAGACTTCCTAAGGCCATGCACCTCTGGATGGTGACTTCAGTAGCCACCCAGTGTCAGATGATGGGCTGAGTGGCTCAGTGTCTCTGCTGGATCTAAAATGGAGACTTCAGTGACTAAGGCAGGAGTTGCCATCAAGAGACACTAAGAGGTGGAGGCAGGTGAAGGTTCTGTGCCAGTTTCTGAGGAAGTAGAATACCCAGGAAATCAGACAACAGACTGTGGATATGCAGATAGACTTAGGGAGAGACAGAGAAAATGAGAAGAGACAGGAGGGCAGTTGGTGCTCAGTATAAGCCAGAGTTCTTGGGGAGGCCCTGACGCCTGAGGTCCAAACTCTATGGCTGAGTCCCAGGGACATACAGGGATTCCCGTGTGCCGCAGCTTCCCTCTGAGCGCTCACATGGAACAGGATGTCTGGAAAGGCACTGTCCAATACAGCCAGCCTGGGCATGGCCTGGAAGTGTCCTTAGACAGGATGGGATTGACCCACTGGTCCTTCTGGTCTCATCCCGAACCAAACAACCAGCATCAACAACTCCGAGTCCCCCATCAGATGCTCCCATAAGCCATGAAATTACCTCATCCTATTCTTATTAACTTTTCTTAGCCTCCATCAGGGCTGGGAATGGATGTCCTGTGTGTAATTTCATCACCAGCAGAGTAGAGGTCAAGGTTTTACATGGATAAGACAAACAGGCCACGGCTAGCTTCGCCACCAGGAGGGAAGCAACGTGGACAGTTTTCCTGGGTTTTATATATCCTGAAGACTGACTCAGCTATCTAGAGGTGCTCCAGACTAAAAATGGAGTCACTCAGAACTGTAGGCATGCTGCAGCTGGTGTCCACAGTAACTTCTGCTTGTGTGAGGCTGAGGTTGCTGCAGAGAACCCACATGGGGCACCTGTCTCCCCTATACCTCTTTACACATTCTGGGCTTTTCTCCTAACTCTAGAGGAACACAGTGATCTGCAGTTTCTGAATTTTCACATTCATCAGTCACTTTACCCTCGTAATAGCCCAGCTGAGGTAAGCAGGCAGGCCTGGGAAATTCTACTTCATAGAATGAAAATCAGAGCGGTTGAGGACTTGAGTAGGATCAGCCAGCAAGGAGCCTGTGATGAGGTCTCAGACCTTCTGACTCTAGGGTCACTTCTTCTTCATGCTCTTGAGGTACCACTTTTGTGCCCACTAAGATGCAACAATGTAAAAAAGGAGCACCTTTTCCCCAAGTCCATCTCCCTGTCTTCCCAGGTTTAACCTGTTCAGGAAGAGCAGAGCTTCCTTCGTGCCTTGGCAGACTGGAAACCTGTGCTCCCGATGAAAGCAGAGTACCTGGCCCCCAGAAGTCTGGCCTTCGAGGTGACAACAAACCCAGCTCACCTACAGGAAGCCCTAAGACATGGTCCAGCGAGGGCAGTCCAAAGCGGAACCTCCGGGTGTTGTGGTTGATTTGCTGGTAAAACAAAACAGAGGCAGACAGGCTGTCAGCTCTGGGAGTCTCACTGGGTGGCTCGGGTGTCTGGGAAAGTATTCCATTTGGCCACAAGATAAATGCCAGCCCACCCCTCCTCTCCAGCCAGCATTCCCACCACCCCTTCCCTCTGTTCTACCTTCATGGGAGGATTTGGACTGTCTGTCCCATTACCTCTTTCTCAATCAAGGGCAGTGGGTACTTGGAGTCAGGATCCTGTAAGGTGATGAGATCTTTCCTCTTGGAGTTCATGCTCTTCAGGGCAAACAGTAGCACTGTGACCCCGATGACAGTGATGGCCAGCAGCATGGATGGGTCCTGGCAAGGGACAATGTGAGCAGATCACTTCACAGTGGCCTTGGGCAGGCCATTTCTCAGGCACAGCACATGGTCTCCTTGCCAATGCCATAGAAGACTCAGACTACATCTCGGAGAAAACGGGCAGAGGGAAGGGCACCAACTCAAAAGGCAGGGGAGCCTGCTTGGGCCAGAGCTGCAGGTCAGGCAGTCCCCCACCCTAACTAGGCCGGACACAGCCTCCTCCTGCCCAGGGTCAGCCTTCATCAAGCAATTCAGAATGAAGGCTTGGGTACCCGGCCACAGGTAGAGAAGAGGGACATCGGCGGCCAGTTGTCCCTCTGAGGCCGCTGTGGATGACAGCAGGGCTCACCTCTCCACTACCCCTGCCACACGCCTGGTCTCTAAAGCTGAATAGCTCTGAGAAAGGGGTGCCCCCTGACATCAGGGGTACACGGGTTACTCACCAGGCAGGGGCTTGGCCAGTGTCCCCTCACCTGCCCGCTTGCTGGCTCATCGTCTGCTCTTTCCTGCCCACGCCTGGCTGCTCTGGCGTCCGGATGGTTGCTGAGCCCGGTCCTCCCGCCCAGGCCCGATGCCCCGCCCTGCGCGGGGCCCAGCCAACGCCGCCCGGGTCAGCACCCTGGGGCGGTCTGAGGTCCTGGCCCAGCCGCCCTCGGGCCCCAACTCACCCGCAGCCAGGCGCCCAGCATGTTTGGGATCTGGGGCTCCCGCGGGGAGCTCTGCGCGGGGGACCGAGTGGACGCCGGTAGCGGCCGGCCTCGGCGACGGACTCCACGGCCCGAGCGCCGCCGGGTGGAGGGTGGAGGGTTCGCCCTCGCGTGACCCGCGCTGCGCTCCAGCCCTGCAGGGCCACGCGGAACACTGGCGCCCGCTGCCTGCCCCGTGGTGAGCACTCTACATCTTTAGGGCTCCCCTTACCCCATACCTCAGACGCATACGTAAAGTTTGGGGCAGATCATTCATTCATTCATTCGTTTATTTATTTATTCGCAGTGCTGGAAGTTCTTTTAGCTCACCTGCTGTGGCTGCCATGAGAGAGTGCTGTTGCTTTTCCTGTTGGTGCTGTCATTGTGTGCTCATGCATTTCCCTGGTGATTTGTCTCAACCCATCTGCTTTTGTATCGTTTCTTTGGTGGAACACAGAGTTGTCCAGGCTGAGCTGGCCTCTGGCCTTCCTTGGGCAGGCGGTGTCCCTCTGCCACTCTCCTGGTAACAGGGCCAATGAAACAAAGTGCCATGGGCTGTGCGAATTATACAGCATAAATTTGCATCTCAAGATTGTAAGAGCTAGAAACTCAAACTCAAGGTGGGGTTTGCCCCTTCTGAAGCTGTGACAAAAGTATCTGTTCCTAGCTGATCTCCTTGGTTTGTGGACAATGACTTCTCCCTGCATCTCTTCACACAAGCTTCCTTCTATGGGTGCCCTGTATCCAGATTTTCCTGTTTTAAAGACATTGGTCATACTAAATTAGGATCCATCCCAATAGCCTCATTTCAACTTGACAACTCTGTAAAAATGCTGTCTCCCACCAAAGTCATATTCTGAGGTACTAGGGGTTAGGATTTCACACAGAAATAGGAAAGTAAAACAACTCATAATACTGCATCGTAACACAGATTATGACAGGCACATGTATCCACACTTTGCATAAAGCCTGCAAGTGGCAGGATATTATTGTCAAATATTTCAAATTTGGACAAATTAAGGTAAAATAATGTCTCACGAACCTTGCATTATCTAATAATTACTAACGTTATTCTGGGTCCAAGAATAAAAATCTCGACACAGGAAGACTCTCCAGGTTGTCTGGGTAAGCTTGGCATGATTGATCCAGATAAGAAATAATCAGAAGACTATCAAAGGACAAGGCAAGTCAGTGACAGGACAGAGACTGGACTAATGAACTCTGAAGATGAAGGAAGGGCCACAAACCGAATACAGGCAAGGAAATGATTTTCCCCCTAAAGCCTTTGGAAGGAATGAGCCCTTGGGAATATTTTGTCTTTAGCCTATGAACTAAAGCTTTGATGCTATGAAACTGAAGCCATTATGCTTTGGCTTCTAGAAAAATCATAAGAGAAAAAAAATTTTGTTCTTTTAAGTCACTTAATTGGTAATAATTTTGAAGCAGGAGGAAGTTTTAATCATGAAGGCTGACGAGGAAGGTGTAAAGACTGTGGCCTAAGGAAAACAACCTATTCCTCTGGGGACTGTCACTTCATGACCCTCACCCCACCCTGATGTTTGAGGTAAAAACAGAAAGGTCTGGAGCCTGACTGTGTGACCATACCTCTTAAGGTGTGGTTCTTCACTTAAGACAAAAACAGGAACATTCTGAGCTATTGTAATCCAATTTTGCCCCGAGAGATCTGATTGAAGGTGGTTGAGACCCTCATTTACATGCTAAAGAGAGACACTAAGAGGGGAAACTGCACTAGTAGGCTTTGGACTTAGGCATGTATATTGTGCAGTTGCTGCAGACCTTGTGCCCATGTTAATGGTTTTATTTTAAGAAGTTTATCCCATCACAGAGCTGTTCTTTATGTGTGGTAACCTTCTTTGCTCTTTCTTTTTCAGTCCTTCTTCAGCGATTCTGTCTATGGGCCAGCCTACTGCTGCACCCTGTATGATTCTAATAAAGTCTTTCTCTGTACTGTTTCCTGTTGACCATGTTTGATTTTGATCTTTCACAAGTCAAAGAACATGTGGAGATGATGACAGTTTGTTAACAGCACATTAGGAAACAAATACACTAAACTATTGTTTTGTCTCTTTAGGTGACAAAACACCTGAACTTATTCCAAAACATCTTTCCCATGATTTGCCCCCACAAGTTCCCTTCCCTTCTGATTGATGGTTCTGATGCTGTTATTACTTTAATTGTGGGTCTCTTTCCTAAAATGCTTTCTCCCACCTGGTCACACTTTTACTTCATTGTCCCTGCCAAGCCACAAGAGGAGCCCATCCCCTCCATTCTTTCTTTTTTTACCCTGGCTCTGGTCCAACCCTTTGTACATTTTGTTAAAATGTCATCCTGAGCAAAGAAACTCAGCATCCAAGTATATTTAACTGAGTGAACTGTGTGAAAAGCACCAATGAAACTCCCAGCTCACTCCAAATACCTAACAAAGACCAATGTAGACCAATACATAGTATTTCTTGAGTTGGATGTTTCTTGGTTTTCTTCTTCAAGGAAATATTAATGGTATATTAGTGGCACCTGGTGAAAATTCTCCACTGAGCACTACAATGGCAATATTTTGCTTTCTAAAATGTCCTCAAACTAGGCTTGATCAAAAGAAATGTGGTTACGAAAAGACTTGCACAGTCACTCCTACAGAGCTGTCAGATGCCTCCTGGGGGAAGACTGTGGAAGACAAGAGGCCTGACACACCTGGAATGATCAGAATTTGCTAGAAACTGTATGATTGGAAACAGTCAAAAGAACAGCTTGCATAACCTATTCCTGCCATCTCTCCCACTCTCAGGGGAATCCTTCCTAAAGAGCTATGTCTGCAGCGCTAGCCAACGATGCCAGTCTCGTTCCCCACCAATATTTACAGCAGTTGTTTCAACTTTTCCTAAATAGCATCTGCTGTGGCAGAGGCTGGGTTCAAGCCTCCAGAAGGTAGTGATTGTGAGTTCACAGCTTGGCAACAACAGAGAGTTAGTGGGAAGGCGAATGACATTTGCAGGGGAAATTCCCACCTGCACAGAGTATGGCTGCCAGGCCTGGCTGGTGCTGTGAGCCCTACAGTAGGAGAAAGGCAGGCTCTGATGAGGAGGGGGAGGGAGAGTGGGAAAGGGAGGGGGAGAGAGAGGGGGAAGGGAAGGAGGAGAGAGAGGGGGAGGGGGAGGAGGGGGAGAGGAAGAGGTCCCAAAGAAGAGAGGTGACTTTTCCATTCCTGACTCCTACTTACAACAAACAGGCTTGGTGAGAAAAACTGAAAAATTTCTATTTTCCTCTGAAAGTTTGGTGATTTTATGTTATGGAATAAAAATAGATTAACAGAGGAAAAGCACCCTCTTCTATAGAAACAGGAGCTATATGTATATAAAGTATGGCTCTCCAGGAAAGGGATAGAGGGTTGACATTTATATAATGTCTTACATTACACAAAGGAATAAGGACTTGAAGCTCAGAGGCAGGGAGGTGGCCACATAGCCATGACAGGGTCAGAGGATGAACAACAGAGCCCTGACAGGTTCCTGTTACACAGAGATTCCTCTGTAGTAAACCCCAGAAGGTCACCTGTGACAATCTCTGTCTGCCCAGGTGTCAGACACCCAATCTGTTCTTCCTATGAAAAGATCTTCCCTGGCAGCTGCAGGGATCTCACAGTGAAAGCTTTGCTTTACTTACTTTACAAATATAGATGGATGGAAATTTCTTTTAGAAAAGGACACATTTTCAGAGCTATTTCTGTCTGCACTTTCTCTGAATAGTCATCTTGAAATATGTCAGGGAAATACATTTGGAACAGGATATTTTACTATCTCACATTTGGGCTGTTCAGAGCCTTATCCCAGCCTCTAGTGCTTTATCTCTAAAAAGACAAAAGCAAGCACTTTTTAGGTAAGACTTTTGTTTGTGAGAAAAGTTTCTATTTCTAAAATGTTTTTAAAAGCAAGAGCAAGTTGATAGAACAAATTGGACTAAAACTACATTCTTTTTTTTTTTTTTTAAGGAGAAAAGGCTTATTTAGCTCATAGTTTGTAAAGGTTTTAGTCTATAATCAGCTGGCTCCAAGGCGAGGTGGCCTGGTGGGGTGGGGTGGGGGAGTGAGTTAAGACTGCATCTAACAGTAATTCTAAAGCCTTCATTTTCATAGAGTTGTATACTCACAAAGCATTTCTGACAATGGACTATACCTCTCTGAAATTATAGTCTTTTTGCCACCATGTTAGTTTGGTGGTTTCTCTAAGATCACGTGGTTTGAAATAACAAACCTGGCATATGAGTCCCTGTTTCTGGATCCAGCATTATGCTTCATAAGCAGTGGGGCAGCAAATGCATACAGAATTTTTATTGGTACCATGCAAACTTAAACTAGATTGTTTATTTTAAACTCTAAAGCATTTCCTCATATTTTTTATCTGATGGAGCTGAGACCCAGGGCTGTGTGCTAAATGATGCTTTGGGAAGAGGGACCATGATTGATTGGGTCAGTTGGATTGAGGGGGCCACTTTGAGCACTCTGAAGTTTTATTAAAAGTAAGTGTAAATTATTTCCATGGTGGAATAAAATTCAGAAAGTATAGGAATAGCGATAGCTCATCTCTTTTTTCTTTCTCCTGTTACTGATAAGATTATATCCAAAAGATGAGAAGTATAAAACAAAAGAGGCCTCTATTCTGAGAACACGGAGAGAGAAAACCCCTGACCACTGGAGTCCAGCTTTCTCTCTGGCAGAAATGTGGCATTGGGGGTATTTAAGTAGCCTCGGTTTGGGGTGGAACCTAAAGGGGCATCAGGGATGCTCGGGTAGCCCATTGGTCTTGGTTTGGCACCATAGGTAAGCTCCCAGGGGCGGGGAAGATGACGTCACAGGTAAATTCCTAGGGGTGGGGGAGATAGGAGCTCCTTGGTTCCCCCTTTAGGGCTTCACTGGCTACAGTGTCCTATTTGGGCCAAAACCCTTTCAGTTGTTACTATGTCACCTGCCCAGTTCACATCTCACCAAGAGCTCTCCTTAAATTCCACCTCATCTATTTCTTCTCGCTGCTTAAAAACATTGTCTCAGCAATTTTTTCCTCTTGGCCCCATGTTATCACCTCCCTTTCTTTACTTGGTAATTCCTACAGGTATACATGTGTGCTTCAGGAATTATGTTTCAAGAATTATTCATT